CGCGCACTCCGCTTTGGCGGCCCAGGGTTCGCGGGTTCGGATCCTGGGTGCGCACTGACGTACTGCTTGTCAAACCACGCTGTGGTTGTGTCCCATATAAAGTGGAGGAAGATGGGCACGGATGTTAGCCCAGGGCCAGTCTTCCTCAGCAAAAAGAGGAGGATTGGCATGGGTGTTAGCTCAGGGCTAATCTTCCTCACAAAACAAAAACAAAAACAAAACAAAACAAAACAAAAATATATCTGCTGGAGGGGTTGGGGCAGCTGGGGCATCATGGGAGGGGCACCAGCTCTGGGTCACTTATGATTCCAAGTCACCTGAAGGCAGAATCACGTCATAGAGTACATGGGTGCATGTAATTATGATAAATATTGTCAAAGTGCTTGCCACAGATGTGACACCAGTTGGTGCTCCCACCAGCAATGTCTGATGGCCTGTTTCTCAAACCTTTGCCAACACAGCATGTTACCCAACATTCTGATCTTTGCCATTCTGATAGGGAAAATTGTTACTTTTTGTAGTCTTAATTTGTATTTCTCTCATTATGAGTGAGGTCGAGTGTCTGTTCATTTGTTTAAGAGCCATCTTTATTTCTTCTGCTGGGGAAAGAATGTCCTGCTCTTCCCTCATTTTTCTGTTGGGCTCTCACCCTCCTGCTTATTCCGTTGCTTCACGTATTAGGGTAATTCGTTTGTTGTCTGTGATAAGTCTAGCAAATATTTTTGTCTAGTTTGGGATTTAATTTGACACTGTGGAGATTTTTTTTTCTTTGCTATGCAGAACTTAAAAAGTTTCTGTGTAGTTAAATTTAACCAAATTTATTGATCTTTTTATTTATGCCTTCTGAGGTTTGTCCTACTTAATTTCTGTTTTAATGCAATTTGCAGCCTGGAGAAGTTGAGAATCAGATCTGAGATCGTAGCCAGTAAACCCCTTCCTTCTTTTAACCTAAGTTTCGCCTTCTGTAAAATGAGGTGGTTGGACTTCATTCATTCGTTCACTCACTCATTCATCAGCACTGGGCTGGGTACTGGGAACACAGAGATGAATGGTGTGGTCCTTGTCCTCATGGTCCAATGGGGAGAGAGACAGTGACCCAACAGTGGCATGCAGTGTGCTGAGGGCTGTGATGGAGGACCCCAGTGTGTGTTGAGGGGGCATCTAATGCAGCCCCCAGAGGGGGAGGCGGAGGGTGTGGGTGCAGGAGGTGAAACAAGGGGTTTCAAGGAAGGTAAGGCCGGGGCTGAGTCTTGAAGGATGAGAAGGAGTTATTCTGGCAAAATCAGTGAGTGAGGGAGGGTGGGTGGCAGAGGGACAAGCATTTGGTGTAGAAGCGGGAGGACCTGGGACAGCGTAGGGCACTTCAGGGGCTGTGTCTGGACATGTTGGGGAGTAGGGAGTGTGGCTGAGCCCAGACCACGAAGGCTTCTCAAGCCAGGTGGCAGCAGCCTGTCGCTGACCCTGAGAGCCATGGATGGCCATAGAAGACTTCTCAGCGGGGCATCAACATAATCAGATTTGCTCTTTTGTTGAAGATGGATAATTGTAATTAAAACGTTGTGACATATTTGCCATGACATTTTTTATAAAGAATACTACAATGACTATTTCTTTTGAGTATCCCCTGGTTTAAGAAATAAACATTATCACTGTAGTTGAAAAGCCCCATGGACCGCTCCCAAATCGCATCTCCCTCCCTCCCCTCATGTCTGCAAGAGTACACTGCTGATGGGCGTGGAAAATGGCACAGTCGCATCTTAAATGTTCTCACCACAAAAAAGAAATGACAACTATGTGATGCGATGGAGGTGTTAGCTAAAGTTACAGTGGTCATCATATTGCAATATATAAATATATCAAATCAACATGTTATGTACCTTAAATTTACACAATGTTATATGTCAATTTATGTCTCGATAAAAAAAAACAGCACAGTTGCTTCAGGGAACATTTTAGTAGCATTCGGTGAAATTGCAGGTGTAAATTCCCCTGTCATCCAATAATTCCCTCCCCAGGTGGTGGAATTACCTGCACAGGTACGCACGAGGAGATGTGCATAAGAAAGTCCATAGCAGTAGTGTTTGCAATAGTGATGGAAACCTCACTTTCCATCAACAGAAAATCCATTATGGCTTATTTACACCATAGAGTACTGTTGTGAAAATATAAGACCCAGAGCCATGTGTATCAATGAAAATAAATCTCCAAAATACAATGTTGAGTGGGAAAAAAAGTGCCAGAAGAATACGTGCAGCGTGCCAACATTTATATGAAGTTTAGAGACATGCACAGTGGTTCCACATTCTGTTAGAGACACATCCTCATGTGGAAAACATACCAAGACGTGCATGGGGATCATAAACACTGAGGCCCCCAGAGAGGCTGCCTCTGGGTGTGGGCAGGGGACTAGGATTGGAGAGTTCATGAGAGCCTGAGCTGAATTGATATTTTCTTTCTTAAGCAGAGTGGTGGGCATATGCCTGTTACTTATATTCCTTTTTAAAAAAAATTTTAATAATATTTCTATTTAATCCAATGTTTCCCCCAATTATCATGTCAATATGTAATCAATATAAACATTGTTAATGAGATATTTTACCAAATGAAATCTTCAAAATCCAGTTTGTATTTTATACTTACGGCACATGTCAACTGGGACAACCCCCATTTCAAGTGCTCAGTAGCCACACTTGGCTAATGGCTACCATACTGGGCAGTGCAGGGTTAACACGTCTCAGGTAGAGGCTGTATCAGGTGACCTCTGAGAGTGCTTTCTGAACCTGAAAGTCTATGATGATGAGGGTGATAATGATGCTGATGATGTTAATAATATCCACCATTTATTGAGCATTTGTCATATGCCAGCAGCTTGTATCATCTCATTTAATCCTCTCATTTAATTACTCTTTTTAAAAATTATGGTAAAATATAAATACATAAAATTTACCATTTTAACCATTTTTATATATCTTATATTATTTATACTTTTTTATATGTCCTAAATATTTCATCATAATTTTGTGATGCACACACACAGAGGCTAGTGCTGCCTGTGGGCAGCTTCTCTGTGGGTGCTCTGGCGTGAGGCACAGGAGGCAGGGCATCTCTCTCCCCCATCCTCTAGGGAAGTTTGAATTCTTGGACCACCCAGAGTTTCAACTGCATCCTCCTTGCCGCTGAAAGGTCATTGTCAGGGCGGGCAGACTAGGTTGAGCTCCACCTAGAACCCCTGTAAGAGAGCCCCCATCTCAGTGAGGCTGAGGCACTCAACCAACCTGAGGTCAGACCAGCCATAGCTGGAAAACATCCCACCACTTACTAGCTGTGTAACCTCAGGCCAGTCACTTCATTGCCCAAGCCTTAGTTCTTCATCTGTAAAATGTGATAGCAGCAGTAATTTCCAAGGCTGCAATGACAACTAAGTAAAATCATGTATGAAAAACCTGGTCGTTATTATTCTTTATGGGGAGCTCAAGGGCACAGAGGCAGGGCATCCAGGCCCCCATCTTGGGCTCCCTTTCCTCGTCAGCACAGTGGGGGCAATAGCCCACCCATCGACCTCTTGGGCTTGTTGAGTGGATGTAATAAAAGGAAAGAGTCACGAATGTTTATTGTGTTTCTGGGTTTACACAGATGGTCTCATTTGCTCCTTCTCATGAAGCCCATGTCATAGAGGAAGACACTCAGCCTTGGAACGGTTGACCCACCCAAGGTCATATGGCTCGTTAGTTGTCCAGTAGGACGGGGCAAGTTGGTAAACCAGAAAACAGGCTGATTCATCAGGTGGAACTTTACTCATGGTGCCCTCGAGTGGCTTGAGTCTTCTCTGGAGACCATCTGAGGCCAAAGGGTCCTGCTTACCCACGGTCCTGCCTGAGGGGTCCTGTCCACCTCTCCTGGGGACCTGCTTTCCTGTCTCACTGCTGGCACCTTGGGTATCACCTTGGGAGTGGGTGCCTGTCACCCAAGCCAGTCCCCAGCCTTCTCCCCGGGGACGACGGTTGGGTGGACCAAGGCTCCTCAGCCTGGGGTCCTTTCTGGGCCACCACAGTGGAGCCCTGTTATTTCTCCCCCCAGGGTGTGGTGATTAAGAACACCTGAGGTCAGATGCTCCGGCTTTGAACCCTGGGAGGAACCTACCTTGGGCAATTTTTCTAACTTCTCTAAGTTTTCTCCGAAGTAAAATGGGGATGATAGTAGCTAACATCATAGAGTTGTTGTAAGGACTAAATGAGCTAATGCATGTGACGAGTGACATGTGATGAGCCTGGTACAGAGGGAGAGCTCAGGGAGTGTCGATGGTGATGGTGGTGATGATGACGATGAGGACGATGACCATGATGATGACAATGATGATGACGGTGATGTCAACAACAACGACAAAGGGCCATGACAGTGATGCAAATTTCAATTATCCTGAGGTCTGGGAACACTTCACTTTATCCCTGCTTTTTCCCCGCACCCTGAGGCACTTCAACAGTAGACCTCATTCAAAATAAAACAAAACAAAACCGGGTTTTTTAAGAAAGAAATGGGGGAGAAAATCTCCAAGTCGATGGGGAACATTATATATTCTAGGAATGTTCTAGGAAATATTTTTAAATGTTTTCCAAACCGCAGGTCACGACTCATTAGTGGGTAGTGAAATCAATTTAGTTGATTGTTTCCATCATGTTTTTAATAAAATAAAAGAGAAAAAAATTATTAAATAGAAAGGAAAATGTCAGAGTGCTTGGTGAGTATTAAAAATAAATAGTGTTTTATGAAACTTTTGTTTCCGTGTTACAGTTATATATTTATCTAAATGTGCATATTGGGTTGCCGTGTAAATGCATTTCTTATTGTGGGTCGTTGTCAAGAAAGTTTGAAAAACAATAAATAGGAAACTACAGTGGGGTTTCTGAGGGATCCCATCTCATTTGAGACTTTTAATTTCTTCCTCGTTTCCAAGCATAGGAGAATATATGTATGAAGCACGACCCCTCTCTCTCTCTCTGCAGAATTGGCTTCCCAGAGCCCCCTGGACCTCACGGAGCTCATCGGCGTCCCGCTGCCCTCATCCGTGTCCTTTGTGACGGGCTACGGTGGCTTCCCGGCCTACAGCTTTGGGCCTGGCGCCAACGTGGGCCGCCCGGCCAGGACCCTTATCCCGCCCACCTTCTTCAGGGACTTTGCCATCAGCGTCACGGTGAAGCCCAACAGTGCCCAAGGCGGAGTGCTCTTTGCCATCACTGATGCCTTCCAGAAGGTCATCTACCTGGGCCTGCGGCTTTCGGACGTGGAGGATGGCCGCCAGCGGGTCATCCTCTACTACACGGAGCCTGGCTCCCACGTGTCCCATGAGGCTGCCGCCTTCCTCGTGCCCGTGATGACCCACAGGTGGAACCGCTTTGCCGTGATCGTCCGGGACGAAGAAGTGGCCCTCCTCGTGGGCTGTGAGGAGCACAGCCATGTCCTCTTCCAGCGGTCTTCCCGGCCCTTGGCTTTCGAGCCCAGTGCGGGAATCTTCGTGGGCAACGCGGGAGCCACGGGGCTGGACAAATTTACGGTGAGTCCGAATCCTGCTGATCAGGGCGGCTGCTGGGCACCAGGAGAGAAACACAAGTGACTATTCTTGTTATTGTTTTATTCTGTGTCCTCAAAGAGGCATGCGTATGGGTGGGAAGAAAGCAAGGCTCGGAACCCAAAACCTGTGTTCCAGTCTTAAGTTTTCAGGGTAGCCTGATGATTTTAGACACTACCTGCTTCTCTGATCCTCTCTGAGTGTCTGTAAGTGGGGAGAAGAAGACCTACGCCATGGGTTGTAGAGTGGAGTGAGACAGCCCGTGTGAGAGCATCGTGTGCATTTTAAGGCATTGTATAAAGAGTAAGGATTGTCACATCCTTCAGTGATCTTATCTTTGGCGCTGAGTGGCAGTCACCCTTAAAGTAATTTCTGCAAAAGTGGAATAAGCTAGAATGCCTGAGTGAGAGGTAGTTTGTCTCTCTCTTTTTGGACAATGTGCCCTGAAAAATATGAGAAAACAGACTTTACTGTCAAAATGGGCTTTTACGAATAAGCTATTCTAAAGCTTATTCTAAAGCTTCTAAAGTGTTATAGTAGTTACTCATTTAGTCGGCACACGTACTTACTGATACTTCACCTCACTGATACAAGACAGTACCGTGGGGCAGAGTTTGGGTTTATTTGTAGTACAGTGGAAGATGGTGAATTTTAAGAAGTCAAAATTCGACTAACAATTTTTAAACGCTCGCTTTGGGAGCGTCGTGGAGAACGAACTGTCAGGTGTGGGGAGAGGAGGCTAGAGGGAGGCAGGGAGCCTGGCTGGCAGCTCTTCTTGGGACGAGGCCTTCCAGCAGAGCAGCTTCGAGCTATGGGGAAAAACCCCTTCTGGGAGAGGAGAGATGGGCCTGCCGCTAACAGCTGGGGACCTGGGGACCAGTTAGGAGGCTGTTGTGTTAGCCTGCCCTTTGAACACAGTACTCTCCCAGGGCCTCTCTAGTTAGTGGGACTCATGTTACATTGGCCCAAGGAGAGCCCTCTGAATGAGAGCGGGCCAAGAGGTGGCTTGGTCTCCTTGTCAGGGCCACAGGCAGCGCATTCTCGCAGTCTGTTGTTCTCTGTTACAAAAACAATCGTGTTTCTGGTGGTCGTGCTGTAGATGTGCCAGTTGTGGCTTCTGATGCCTCTGCTTTTCCCTAGGGCTCCATACAGCAGCTCACCATCCATGCTGACCCCAGGACTCCTGAGGATCTGTGTGAAGCTCAAGAATCCTCGGTGAGCCGCCCTCGCACTCCCCCGCCGCCCCTGCAGTGGCCCTGCAGCTCCAGCAGCCTCGGCCGGAAGGGCTGAGAGCCAGGCAATTCTTCATCCCCAACGTCACAGAGTCTCTAAAATCTCTCATCTTGGCAAGTGCGGCCTCAAGTCCTATTTTGGGCTTTTTGGCTTTATTTTATTTTTTTTTAAGAGCTCCAGCCATCTCTGTGGTGTGAGGGGTTGTGTTTCTCCTAAGGTGTTAGGTTCTTCCATGGCTGTGCCAGTCAATGGACTGGTTTCCAGACTTCCTGCCAAGAGAGGGTGTCAGGATTCTAAAATCAAAGTTAAAACTCTAAGACGTTCTGGGTGGTGTAAATTCCTATAAAAACGAACCTAAATTTAGCTTTTATGCTTGGCAAATGAATCAGTTCCTAAGTTAGGGGTGGGGTGGTGGGCAGGGAAAAAAGATGGGTCCTTTTTTCCTTCCTCCCTCTCTCTCTTCCTCCCAACACCCATCCAGGATTTACTGAGCGCCTGCTGGGTGACAGCCCTGGGGGATGCTAGAGACAAAGGGATACACTGGGAACTGTCCCGTCCTCCAGCTGCTCACACGCACTTACACACCCAAATGCAGTGACAGAGCTGAGTGTGGTGGAACACGGGGGAGCTCCTGAAACCCAGACTCGGCGGGGTGGGTGGGGACAAGAAGGTGAAAGAGGAGGAACAAGGAACAGGTCAGTGAGGAGTTGATGCCTGCCCAGTGACAAGCAGGTGTTACCAGGTGAGGAAGAAAGGCATTCCAGATGGAAGCCATGACGCAGAGAGTCAGAGGCAAGCAGAGCATGGCATATTCCTAGAACTTCTGTGGCTCTTTGAGGGGGGTGTCAGCCTCCAAACAAAACACACATTTTCATTCATTCATTTAGTAAAAAATGCTACTGATTTAGTCCGAAAGCCCTTCAGAGGTGGAGTGTGGCTCTGTAAGAATGTTTGTGCTCCTTGAGGCTACGATCCCGGCTTCATATGAATCTGAGAGAAAGGAAACCTTATGTGTATTCATTCCTTCATCTCCATGTTGCTGTTAGTATTGAAAAAGCAGAAACAACCCAAGAGTCCACGAATAAGGGATTGTTCACAAAATCATGGTGCACAGGCTCCTTGGCTGCCATCGGAAGGCTAATTACAAAGATTAGGCAGCAAGAGAAAGACGTACTTCGAATGTAGCGGTTCCCAGTGTAAAATTCTGGAGGCAGCCACGCAAAGATCGGGAGTGCCTTTGACAGAGATTGAAGGGAACCTGGACAAAATGAAACTAGGTATGTTAGGTAGACTGTAAAGTGACTGTAGCTTTTTGTTTATTTGAGCATTAAAATGTGGAAGGAAACACAAGAACAGCCAAGCATGCACAATGTACACGTGCTGTCCCCTTAGTCCACTCTGTCTCTGTCATCTCTCCCTCACACACACACCGCCCTCCACTCTTCTCAGTTTCTGTGACTCTCCCGGTTGTAAACTGCTCCGCCTCTGCCCGGCCTGATTTGTCCCCACACAGGCGTCAGGAGAGACCAGCGGGCTCCAGGAGACAGACGGAGTAGCTGAGATCTTGGAAGCCGTCACCTACACCCAAGCCCCGGTGAGTGCTGGAAGCTGCGCCCGGTCCCTGGGTCTGCTCTTAGGGGCTGAGAGTGAAGGAGGGTGCCCAGAGCCCGGTCTGACCTCTCTGTTCTCAGATCCGTGACTTCAATCTTTGGCTCTTCTGGGGAGGTCAGGAAGGTACGGGCCAAGGGGCATTTTGCAAAACCCCCAGTACACTGGAATCCGGTCACCTGCTGCCCGCTTTGCTGTGGCGATGAGAGGGCTGTCCAAAGGCAAATGCTGTGCTCTATCGCCTCCCAGCTCTGTGAGCCTAGGTAACTCACTCAGCCTCTCTGAGCCTCAGCTCCTCTTCCATAAACGATAAGCAGAGTCCTTTCTCATGGGGCTGTTGCGAGGGTCAGAGGAGGCAGTGCAGGGTCAGGTCTCAGCTCAGTGCCTGACGAGGGAAGTGGCCCTGAACGGTGGCTGCTGGCGCATTTGCTCGAGGCTCTGGCTCTGAGAAGGAAGTCAGGGCCCCAACTCCTGCAAGACGCAAAGTCTTCTCTGGAGCTGCCTTCTGGCCCCATGGGAAAGGCAGCCATCCTCCCAGTGGCGGGGGCCCCTCCCTCCTGGGAATGTGCCCCGTGGCCCAGACAAGGAAGTGGTTTTGAAAGCACTGAGTCAGACCTGTGGAGACACCAGGAGCCCATTTTTAAGAAAACAGCCAGCAGTGTATGAGTCATTGAGCACAGAACCCCTAGTAATCTCTTCAGCTGGTCTGGCTCACTCTATAAACTCATCTCTGATGGAAGAAGGAGAGAGAGAAATAAGGCAGAGGCTAGAAATTATAGACCTCTGGGGACAAAGGTGTGGCTGGGGCAGGAGAGGACCATAGTCTGTTAGTGCTGGAGGGATTTAAAGGGCACCTCTTTCTATACAGAGGTGTATGGAAAACTGCCCTTTGTACAGGTGGGCAGACTGAGGCCCAGAGAGGGGAAGAGACTGACCCTAGGGTACCTGGGCAGAGCTGAGGCTAGAACACCGGTCATTTGATGCCCCATTCAGGCCATTACCTTATACTTCTGGCCTGGGTGGTCTTGCAGAGGTTCAGTCCCAGGACTGCGGCCCATTCTTGGGCAGCTGGGATGGAGGCGTCAAGGGTCCAGGGTGCCTGCCTAGGCAGTGCCTGGGGATGGTGGCTGCTCTGGGAAGTGTTACAATCCTGTATGCCTGTCAGCCATTGGCCACCCCGTTGGCATGTCCAGGGTGCAGGGCAATAGGGCACAGAGCGGTGATGCCTTGGGTCTTCTAGCTTGATGCTGCCCCCCAGGGTACCAGTTCACAGCTAGGAGCCAGGCCAGCTCAGGGAGAGATGCCAGTAACCCACAGTGGCGCTGGAGAGGGACAGGAAAGGGGAGCAGGTTTGAGAGCATGAGGTGATCATGGGGGCAGGGGCTGGTCAAGGGGAGCTTTCTGGTGGAGGGGGCACTGGAGCCAAGCAGCTTTGGACAGGGGTAGAGAAATGGGAGAGGAAGGAGGAGGACCGGCATTTTTAGATACCCACTGTGTACCTGGTGCTTGGTTTAACCCTTGCAATGATCCTGCAAGGGAGATGGCAGCAGATGCTCAGGAGGGGAGGGTGGCTTTGCTGGCTCACTCGGTGGTGGAGTCAGGACCCAAGCCTGGGCCTCCCCCGGGCCACAGCAGCGCAGGTGCAGGGCAGATGTGGGAGGGCACTGCAGTGGGAGGGGGTGAGGAGTGAATCCCCAAAGCGTCTGGAGAAGAAAAGTGATCTGATGGACTTGAGGGCCTCTGCGGCACTCCAACTACTTTCCTTCCTAGATCCTTCAGCCCAGTCTCCCCAGTGGTTTTGAGAGAACTGGTGCAGATTGGGGTCCCACCCAGTGTGAGTTCGCCTCGGCTGCTTACTGGTTGTTGTCCTGGAGTCGTAACTGAACCTCTCCAGTCTCAGTCTCCTCATCGGTTAGAATGGAGCGTCCCCGTGTCCAAGGGTCAGTTTGAGAGTCGAGTAAAATGACTCCAGTGAAACACGTGGGCAGTGCCTGGCACGCGGCGGCTCTCCGTGAACATTTGTTGTTTTTACTATTGACTGATGGGTTTATTGTGAAGATTCGGGGGGTGGTGTGTTAGAATGCCCCGTTCCTCTTGGGGCCCCCTCCCCACCACCTGCTTCCTGGTTGGCTGGTGGCTGGGGCTGCCGGCACGCCACACCCCTGTGGCTGCTCTCAGTTCTTAAGAGTACTCCCCCCGGGCTGTGGGTGTGGGACCAGTGGTCCTGGAGCTGTGGGTTGGGATGCTCCTTGTCTGTTCCCGGTGTTAGAATCCCTTCCCCATGCTCCAAGCATCGCTCTGCAGAGCTCTCACTCCCCTGGACTTGTTTGCAGGGCAGTGTTTTTCCATTGATTCCCCAGAGGAGACACTGAGGCGTGGAGTGAAGGGCTTCGTCCCCAAGGCTGCCTAGCATGGAGGTGGCGGAGCCAGGTCCCCGGCCAGGTCCAGGGTGCTGTCAGTTGTGTCACCCCCGAGCTGGGGACTTGTCCCTTTCACCATCTCCTGGGAGGGCTCCATGGCTCCCTCCACGGACACCCTTCCAGGGCAGGGGAATTTCCCTCTTCTCCCAGACATTCTGCCCTGTCTGTCTGGCTTCTCTCTTGGAGTGAATCTCACTTCCCTGTCCTCATCCTTTCCAACCTGCCACCCGCCAAGACACAAGCCATGGCCAGCGAACTGAATCATGGGCTGCCTGCATGGTCAGGGACTTAAAAAGCCAGCCCTCCTCATCTCCTTCCCCATTTAGGGTAGGAGTCCCTGCGACTCCATTCTTCCTGCAGCTAAGTTAGCTTCTGCTGACACTTTTCCATTTCTGGAAAGTTCTATCTTATGCTGAGTTGGAATTAATATCCCTGTGGTTCTCAGCTCTGGCTGTGAATCAGAGTCACGTGTATGTGTGGATGGAAGTAGGGGCAGTAGGGGAGTCTTAAAAAAGGCTCTTGCCTGGCTGCATACCTAGACATTCAAATTTGGTACATCTAGAGTGAGGTCCAGGAATCTGTACTTACAAAAGCTGTGCAGGTGGTTCTGGTCCACAGCCAGGACCTCCCTTCCAGCCACACCCGAATGCTCAGGTTCCCAAACCCACTAAGCACTTTCACCACCCCTGTCCATGCCTTGGTTCCTGTGGTTCTGTTGGCCTGAGGGCCCTTCCCCAACCCTCTGTCTGCCTGGCCAGTTCCTTCTTATCCTACAGGATCCAGCCCACAGCCCCCGGTCGGAGGCCATAGCTCCCCTCCCCGCGCTTGGCTCTCACTTCTGCTCTCTCACAGGTCACGTTCAGTCACAGTTAGTTGGGTCTGGGTCTGGGTCTGTGTCTTCCCACAGTCCAGCAGTTTGAGGGCAGACGCCATGTTTTATTTATTCATTTCTGTGTCAGGGGGATCACCCAAGGACCTGGCAAACACTAGGCCCTCAGGAAATACCTGCTGAATGAGTAAACCTGATTGTGTGAATGAGACTGGTGGTTCAGCAAATCAGTACACTTTCAATAACAAGTCGTAAGACTTGACATTCCTCTTTGGTCACAGGCCACACTGCTTCCCCATCCACACTCATTCCTGAAAACCAGCAGCCACCTGCTCGAGGCAGATGCCTGGCCCTGACCACCGAGGGTCATCTCACCAGATTCGCACTCTGCCCTTGAGCTGGTGTTTGTGGCTGCCTTGCTGGGAGTTTGCCAAGAGGTCTTAGTCGTTTCTTGTTCACACCATGGGTCCAGCACCGGTCAGCAGGACCCTTCCACCACCCCCAACCCTTGAGCTTAGAAAGCGATGAGACTGCTCAGGAGGTGCTACCTGATCCCGGGTCTGGGGGTGACGTCATGATCGTTGTTGGACCCCCCCATCAGGATTTCTCCCTAGATCTCTGAACTGCTCTATGTTTTCAACTGTTGGGGTTTTTTGTTTGTTTCTTCATTTTTCTCTAGTTGCTCAACTTGGTTAAGACATTGACTGGTTTTGGAAAAGCTGCACGGAAGTTTCCTTGGAAGGAAGTCACGCACCCATCTTTCATTTCATAGGCCTTCAATGCACATCTGGGATTGGATTTATACAGCGTTTATGGAGTGCAGCCTGCTTCATTCATTTGTTCATTCATTCATTCCCTCATTATTGAGCATCTTCTCTGTGCTGGCCCGGGATGCAGGGATCACAGAAATGTGGTCCCTGTGCTCAAAGAGCTTCAGCCGAGTTTAGCAGAGTGGCTGTAAACTGAACAGAATTTCATGACCCCTAATGACCTTTGTCAGGCCCTGGGAGGTTCAGCGATTGCCCAGGGGCACAGTGGGCAGGGCCAGGCTTTCTTCTGGGTTTATTCAGCACTTTGTGGATATATGATTTTCTCCAGTGACATTCACTGCCATTTTTTCTGTTTTCCTGCCAAGTAAATCCCTTCTGTTTCATTTTTCCTCCCTTCAGTCTAAAGAAGCAAAAGTTGAACCCATAAACACACCTCCAACTCCATCCTCTCTCTCTGAGGATGCGGAGCTTTCCGGCGAGCCTGTACCTGAGGGGACCCCGGAAACCACCAACTTCAGCGAGCCTGTACCTGAGGGGACCCCAGAAACCACCAACTTGAGTGTCATCCTGCACAGCAGCCCTGAGCAAGGCAAGTCCCTGGTGTGCCTTCATACGTAGCAGTCTTGTATTGAGTGACGACTGTGTGCCTGGCCAGGGTGATGTATGGAACATAGAGCATCTCGTTTAACCTTCCCCTCGGCCCTCTGAGGAAGGAATTATCACCATCCTCATTTCACAGACAAGATGGGGAAATTGAGTCACAGAGCTGTTACGTTACCTAGCTGAGGTTCTACGGCTTGTAAATGGCAGAGCTGCTTTTGATCTTGCATTCCTGAATTTTTAACCCCCAGACTCCACCCCTCCAGAAGGGCCTGAGCTTCAACAGAAAAGCTTGTAATAACTGTTGCTGTTTATTAAATACCTACTTGTCAAGTGTTTACATACTTCATCTCCAGGCCTGACAATGCTTCTCCTAGTTGCTATTATTAGCCAGTATTTTACAGATGGAAAAACAGACACTCGTGAAGGTAAATGAGGTGCCCACAGTCACACAGCTAGCGAGTGGTGGGACTGACCCAGTGCCCAACCTTTCTGGCCTCCACCACAAATTGCCTAACTCTGAGGTTGGATCAGGTCATCTAAACTCCTGGGGGGCACACATGGGAATCTGGTGGCCAGAGAGGGACAGGCACCCAGCAGGTCAGCCGCAGGCCCTGGAGGGGGCTGGCTTCCTGGCTGCCCATCCAGGGCTCTCGTCCCTGCCCGTTGTCCCTCCGGCCATGCAGAGGAGCCTGGCAAAAGCCCGAGGTCCCCTGTGATCCCCAGGCAGCAGCCTGACGTGTGCCCAAGGCCTGAGATCGGCTGCGTTTTCTGCCCTTTATCAGAGGGGCAGCCATTCAGACCGAAGTTATAGTCAATGCCAGAGCATGGAGATTTAGGTACAAGGTCGGAAAACAACCCGACCTGCCCACGGTAGGGGTGGGTTGGTCAAATTGTGTTTCATTCATATGTGCAGCCCTGAAATTGGTGATGCAGACTATTTAATGACCCAGGGGCTCACTCAGTGTGTACTCCACAAAAAAAGCAGATTTCAAAACTATATATATGCTATGATCCTAATTTTGAATATATGTTATCTATATCTATTTTTATATAGCTATGTAGAGCAATGTGTGTGTGTGTGTGTTAGAATAATATACAACAAAATGCTATGAGTAGTTACCTCGGGGTGGTAGGATTTTGGGTGGTTTTTCTTTTCTTTTTTGTACTTCTGTATTTTACAAGTCTTCTACAGTCATATACATCATTGTTCTTTCTACTTCTGCCATCGGTAAATGAATGTTATTTTGACAGCTAACCTTGGGAAGTCTGTGGGTGAGAGAAAGTGTACAGTACTGAATAGAAAAAATTGTATAATGGCTGAATAAAGTCATAATGAAACCGAGGAGTCAGGGTGTTGCTGTGGAAAAACTGCCTGAGGAGCAGACACTCTGGCCGGAAGCCCTGCTCAGCCACCTATGTGCTGTCACCCGGGCAAGTTGCTTAACTTTTCCGAGGCTTAGATTCTTTCACTGTCCACTGGGAGTGTTCCCAGTCCCGGCCTCCTGGGATGAGAAGATCGAGTGCAGCAGAGGATTTGGAAGTGGTTTGTAAATTGCGAATGCTGTTCTCCTGAGTGGAACTAGGGTCTCTGGGGAGGGGCGAGGAGCGGGCAGAGGCTGCAGGGCCTGGCAAGGGCCTCTCCTAGACTGAGGGGTGAGTGCAGAGGAGGTGGGAGCCAAATGCAGACTGGGATCCAGATCCAAGCACAGCTTGCCTGTTCTCTGGATCAGCCCGACTCCTTCTCTGGCAGATAAAAGGCCAAACGGAAATAACAGAGCTGGCTGAAATGTTTCCGTTCTTGTTGGGTCGACAGCTCAGATAATGAGGAGAAAGGGGCCTGAACCCAAGCCCCGTCCGTGGCTAGAGAAAGCCCCCTAAAAGTTTTATTCCAAGGTTCGCTGACACCACCTTGGCCCAGAGCACATGCCACCCCCACCACCTTCCTCCAAAGGGTGGGGATTCCGAGGCCTGGGGTCCCGCCAGCTGCTTGCACAGCAACCCCTGGTGGTCAGAGCAGGGAGGACGAGAGAGAGTGGCTGTGAGGGGCTGATGACTCCTGGCGTTCAGTCGTTCAGAGGCGTGTGGGTTCTCTTGAATGGTTCAGCACCTCCCCTGACACTGTCCTCACCATGGGACATACCTGAGCACAGCCTGTGTGGAGAGGGCCCCTCCCAGCCACTTACTCTCGGTGGGAACTTGTTCCTCCTCTGCAAAGTGGGGTTAATAATAATAAGGTGCTCATGTCCGGATCAGAGCAGGACACACACACCACGGGGTGGCAGGGGAGACTGAAAACGTGAGATGTCTCTCCTGGCTCTGCCCACCGGCTGCGAGGTGATGGGAAGGGCCTTCTAGGTAGGACAGACAGACGGGCCGTGGGAGGATGAAATGAGAGCGTGCCGGATATGCTTAGCCTGGGCCCAGCCCAAGACAGGCATGCATTAGTGTTGGTATAATTTTTTTTTTTTTTTTTGCTTTAGGACTCTGTTTTTTAAATTGCAAAAAAAATATTTGCTTGTGATAACAGTTCAATCAATGCAGAGTTGTGTGAACCAAAAAAATAGTGGTTTCCTCTCCTATCCTTCGGAGGAAACCAATATTAAGCATTGTAGTTTAGCCAAGTATATACATACACACACATATACATGTATATGTATATATTGTTTATGTTATATAATAATAATAGTTACGTGACATACATGGTATATAATTGTATATATAATGATAAAACATGTATATTCATATATAGTTCTTTTCCCTTTGACAAATATAGAACCACACTGATGATGAACATTTATTGATTGTTACTATATGCCAGGGGCTGTTCTCGATGCTTTTCTTGCATTAATTTATTTAATCCTTGTAAGACACAATCCTCAAAACAACCTCATGAGATAGGAATATTAGCCCCAATTTATAGGTGAGGAACCTGAGGAACGGGGTAGACAACTCGCCACGGGTCACGTTCGTAGTAAGTGGCAAAGCAGATTCCAGCCCTGCAGTTGGTGTCAGAGTGTGATCGAAACAACTGTGGAACTGCCTTTCTACGTCTGTTTTCCTGTAACTTTTTTTTTTCTCTTAATCCTGTATTATGGACATCTTTTCAAGTCAGTAGGCGAAGAGATACCTCATTCTTTTTCAAGACTGCAAAATGCAGTTATTAACTACAGAATGCCTGCTTCCCGTAGGGTCTGGTGAGATCCTGAACGACACGCTGGAAGGAGTTCATACTGTGGACGGTGCCCCCATCACGGACATTGGCTCGGGGGATGGGACCTTCTTTCATGTCACTGAAGAGGTGAGTCAATGGTACATTTCACTTGACAAGTCAGTTGTAAATTTGTTTGCTTGATGGTGACTTGTACTGGGCACCATAGAGGACCACCGGGGTTTTAGCTGAACGTCATGGAGACTGCCTCTTTCCCGCTAGCACAGAGGAGGCAGGAGTCCCAGGGCCCCAGAGGCTCTCCAGGGATGCTCCAGGACAGGGGGAGGATATGCAGTGCAACTGGTCCTCACACCTGTCTGGGGATGAATGTCTGTCCTCACCACAGTACCCCCTCCCTCCTGCTCAGCTGTGAAGATGCACAGCCCCTCCACCCTTTGAGCCCCTTCCAGACAGAATCAGATTAACTGCAGTTGTGTCCACTCTATTGCTTGGTAATTTTCTTTTCACCCAAAGCCAATTTTTTAAATGCCAGACACAGTAGGGTGCCAAATTAAAGCAAATGTATTTTTCTCACCACGGCCTCTGCTAAACACCTACCGTGTCAGCTCATTCTTTCTGCTATCCTGGGATGAAAACTCAGACACTTCTCATACGCTCCCCGTCACTATCTGGTAACAGGCTGTTTTCACAGATATTTCCAAAGCCCAGTCCTGCATAATATCAATCAATAAAAATACAAATACAGCCAGGACCCAGCCAGGGAAGGGAGGCATGATTAGGGATTTCCTCTCTATTTTTTTACTTTTTCCTCCCTCCCATGACCTTCCCGCCCTCCTCCTGCTGGAACTTTCTCTCATGGGGGCTTTTGTGATTCCCCAGAGGTCCTCCTGCAGGGGACCTGGGACCCAAGCTCGCTGTCGGCTTTTAACTTCTGCCGGGGCTTCCACCCCTGCTGGTCGCCCTCCTCCTCTAGGTGGGCCTTTGGGTAGAGTCCATTTCAAGATGGCTTTAACCAGCTCCCTTGGGAGGGGTCATATCTTATCCATCTCCAGGAAAACACTACAGGACTGACCTCTCTCTCTGTCTCTCTGTCTGTCTCTCTGTCTCTGTCTCTGTCTCTGTCTCCACTCTGGGTCTAGATGGCTCCCTGCTTTTGCCTTTTGTATTTCCCTGGAGAGAATCAGGCACCAGTCCCTTTGTGTCCCACATTCCAAGGACTGCATATCCGGCTCACCAAATGGTTTGTAGTGGGAGAGGGGAGAGGAAAAGCCACAGCTCATGGAAAATTCCCTCCAGAGGAGTTCTTCCTCCCTCATCACTCAACCCCAGAGTGAATCCTTACCTTTTCTTACATAGCCAGAGACAGGTAATGGGCTAACGCTGGTGGAACCGTTCTAGTTCATTGTCTCAGCAAGTCCCGCATAAGTCGTCTGGCTCCTTCTTTAGAATATGGAGGTTACCTGATGCCTGTGGAATTGGACTTTGGAGCTTTAGATGACGTTGAGTTAGAAAGAGTCTCATTTTAAAATCCTGTGATATCGTGTTTCTCTGTTTTTTTGTGGGGGACAACAGTAATTCTGCAAGGACTTAATAGGTTGTATAAATAAAGGATTCTGTGGTCAAATAAGTTTGGGATGGGCCGGCCCCGTGGCTTAGCGGTTAAGTGCGCGGGCTCCACTACTGGCGGCCCGGGTTCGGATCCCGGGCGCGCACCAACGCACCGCTTCTCCGGCCATGCTGAGGCCGCATCCCACATACAGCAACTAGAAGGATGTGCAGCTATGACATACAACTATCTACTGGGGCTTTGGGGGAAAAATAAATTTAAAAAAAAAAAAAAAAAAAAGTTTGGGAAAAGTTCTGGTCTATATTCCTCTTATTATCATCTCTGAGAATTCTTGCAGCAAGGAAATCTGTCTCTAACTTTGATCAGCCTAGTGTTTTTAGTATCAAAAAGAACTACTTTTGGGAAAAAAAGAAAGAAAGAAAAGAAAAATCCAAAATTAAATTAAAAAAAGAAACTTTGGAAAACTGAGATAAAGCATAGTCAGCTGGGTGACACCAGCAGCCGAAGCTGCTCGCTGTTGCCATTTCTCGCATCTGCTGTGTAACCTTCAGAGAATCTGCCTGTGCATTTCCCAAGGAAACTGAGTCACAGGGGAAGAGAGGAAGCAGGGTGTCCAGTCTGGAGAAGGCTGAGGAGGACGGGGTGCTGCCTGCACATCTCTGAAGCGCCGTCCTGGGCAGAGGCATTTGACTTGTTCCTGTGGCTTCTGGATGGGCACATAGGGAAGGTCACAGGGAGGCAGAGTGTCAGATAGAAGAGCCCAGAGCTGGAGCAGGCGGACTCGGGAGGCAGTGATCTGGTCACTGGCAGGTGCAGACACACCCCTGGAATCTAACAGGAGATGTAGTGCCATGCAGTCTCTCCTGCCCCTGGGATTCCGTGACTCTGGAGCTGGGTGACGTCATAGATAAAAAAGTGCTTTGACAGAAAGACGCTACGGAAATGCAAGTTGATGGATGGGCATGGGCAGTCTGTTTTCTCCAGCCACAGGCACGTTGATCAGGGCCGTGGGCCCAGTGACTTGGTCCCTTGTGCTGCCTTCGTTTCTAGGGTCTGCATCCTGAAGAAGGTTTGGCAACAACAGCAGCAGCCGGGGACGCCGAGGTGCCCATCGGCACTGCTGCGGAAGCAGAGGCCGGCAGTGTGTCCACTGGGGGACCGACCCTCTCTACGTTCACTGAGGATGCTGGGGAAGGGGTCACTTCAGTAAGTAGCTCAGAGCGCATGCTCCGCTTCACCTGTTTCCGGGGCATGGTGCGCATCTTGGGTGGGAGCAGTCGCTGGCCTTCCTCATCTGCCTGCAAAATGCAGTGTGACAGCCTTTTGGGGCCGAGGCCAAGCAGACACCAATTTGGAGGCTGAGGCACGTGTTGACTCATTCAGCAGATGTTCCTGGAGCGCTGCGCTGTGCCAGGTGCTAGGGAAACAGGAGAGACCCGGTGCCTGGGGGCAGAGCGGTAAGAGGTGCGACAGGACATGCTCATAATGCTCTGGGAGCACAGAAAAGGGGCCCAGAATTCACACTTGGGGGTCCAGGAAGCCTTCCTGGGGAAAGGATGCTGGAGGTGAGACCCAGGGGGTGATTGGAAGGAGCCCAGCAGATGGGAGCGAGACAGGTGTTCCAGGAGCTGGGCCAGCAGGAGCAAAGGCCTGGAGGCATCCATATGAACATGCAAAGCCCAAAGAAGTGCAGCAGAGCTGCAGGGTCAGGTGTGAGCAGGGCGGGATGGGGTGACAAGGCCGGAGAGGCCTCTGAGAGCACAGAAGCCATAGGAGCCTGAGTGTATGCAGCAGAAATGGGAGTCCCTGAGAGGTATTAAACAAGAAGTGACATAGTCAGAGTAGCATTAGGCAGTTAGAAAATCATCTTGCCTCCTGAGTGGAAAAAGGATGGGGAAAGCAAGGCTGGAAGCAGGGGCGTGGATTCAGAGGCTGTGTCGGGGTCTGGGCAAGGGGTTGTGTTGGCTCCCTCTGGGTGTGGTCAGCAATGTCAGATCTTGCCAAGAGTTCCAGTGAGTAAAGGCCTGAGAAGCATCCCTTGGGTCTGTCACCATGACTATTGGTGACCTTGAGGAGGGCAGTTTTAGGGATGTGGGGGGGAGGGGTGGAAGCCAGAGGGCACTGAGGAGAGTGAGGCGAGCAAGTGGTCACTGAGGCTAGCCAACCGCTCAACAAGAAGGCTGTGCACTCGGGGGACCTGTGTTCTGTCCAGCACCACGCCTCAGGTGCTCAGCGGAAGCTTCACTCTCAGGAGTAGTGGATGGAAGATGGCAGGGATGCTGGTGAGCGCCATGTCACTGAGGTTGGCAGGAAGCAGCAGGATGAACCATGCAGGTGGCTTAGTGACAAGGGGGCATGCACCTTGGGTGGTGTGCAAGGTCCAGGTTTCTGTGTGGGCGCCACCTTCGGGACCGCAGTGTAAGGTGAGGTCTTGGATGTACAAGCGCTTTGGAGGTGAGGGAGTGACAGGATGCAGGGGCGGGAGGGGCCCCGCTGTCTGCTGCCTCCAGCCACAGCGCATGGATCCCTGATGTGGTCCCTCTTGACGTCTTCCTTTCAGGGTCTGGATACTGAGGAAGGTTCGGCAGCAACAGCAGCCGAGGAGGCCGAGGTGCCCGTCAGCACTGCCTGGGAAGCAGAGGCCGACAGTGTGCCCACTGGGGGACCAATCCTCTCCATGTCCACCCACGACCCTGGGGAAGGGGTCGCTCTGGTGAGGAATGTAAAGTGCTGGAAGGTTGAGGTCATGGCTGGGAGCAGATCCAGGCCTTCTCAGAGGGCCGGTCTTCATTCTGTTCAGCAAATCCAGAGGAGCCTGAGTGGGGAGGGGGCACCTCTCTGACCAGATACTCCCTCAGAGGTCGGGTTTGCCAAGGCCTGGGCAAGCGTGTGGTGAAGCCGCTGGAGGCTTGGGGGCTGCGCAAGAGGACAGCCCCAGCAGGCCAGTGGGGAGCTGGGCCCAGGGGCATGTGGGTGAGTCAGTGAGGTGGGCGTGAGTCCCAGGGCTGATGCAGGGGGTCAGAGCCAGAGTGGAGGCGTGCTGGGGTGTGAGTGGAAGAGGCGATGGGGGGCACAGCCGGGGCCTTTTTCTGGGAGGGAGCATAGGCTGTTAGAGGGCAGTGGAGGGTCAGGGTGCAGGCAGGCTGCAGCAGGGTCCAAGGGCATCGCCAGCCCTTCTCAGCCCTCTCCTCAGGCAGCGTGGAGACACTGCTCCCAACTCCTGCAGGAAGTACTCCAGGACACTTGGCAAGTCTGTCCCTATTATGTCATTATAATGGATGTCCTGCAAGTTCTTCAAACTCAACAGATTCAAATCTACACTCATTTCCACTCCTCCCATGTTCCCACCTCAAATGAGTGGGACCATCATCCCTCAGTTGTCTAATCCAGAATTCTCTTCCCTCTTCCTTACTTCCCACATCTCATCAAGCACCAAGTCTTGCTGATTTTTCTACCTACACACATCATGGACCTGCGCACCTCTGTCCTTCTCGAGTGCCAGCCCCTTGGACTGAGCCACCATGTCCCCAGCCCAGAAGGTGGCTAAGGCCCCTGCCTGGCCGACTCCCCCTGGTGGGGGCAGCCCTCTGTGTGGAAGATCCTGCCCCTCGCCTGGCCTATAAGGCCTTGCAGGTCTGGCCTGGCCAGCCTCGCTGACCACAGCTAGGGCCGCCATCTCCCTGGCTCTCAGCTCTCCACCTCACTGACCTTTCAGTTTCATGCACATGCCTCTTCCCTTTTTGCCCCAGAATCTTCCCGCACCCTCTCCTCTCTGCCTAGAACCTCTTCCTCCCTCCGCCCCTCCTTTGGTTCCTGCTTATCCTTCAGAGGCCAGCTCAAACACCACTTCATCAGGGAGGTGTCATCCCAGACTGTGAAGTCTCGCCACAGACACGTTCACGGTTCCCCAAACTCCTCCGTGGAAGGCCTCATCATAATTGTAATAATAATAAATTTGGTAGATAGTTCGTCTCTGGCTCCCTGCCAGACTGTAAGCTCTGTGAGGACAGGGGTTATGTGCAGCCTATTCACTGATCTGCCTTCATCCCTGCAAGTCGTGGGCACTCAGTGGATGGCTGTGAGTGCATGAACGGAGGGGTCGTCAGGCTGTCACATGTCAACGACACTGGCCTCTGAGATCACTCCACACATCTCCCCTGGCCTTTCACCTCCAGGCTAACGTCCATCCAGGGAACTCTGCAGTGGGAAGGGGATGTCCTGACCAGCTGACGGCTCTCCAGGCCACTTGGCAGTTACGTGGATTATTTTAATTATTAAAGTGGCTGCCACCCCCTTCTCCTCCTCCTCCTTCTCCTTGTCTCTTCCTCTCCTTCATCTCTCATCATTCATCCCTTGTCCTTCCTTTGCCACCCCCAACACACACACTTCTTCTTTAAAGGCAAAGAACTTGTCACAGGGTGAGAAAACTAGGTACCAGGTCCCAGTTCTACCAAGTCTTAACTCAGTAGAAACTAGAACTTAACCAGCAGAGCTGTCTGGAAACAGAAGGGCTGCCTGTGAAGGTGGTGAGCTCCCCGTTACTGAAGCTGTGCAAGCCACGGCCAGAGCACTTGGCAGAGGTGTGCTGGAGGGGACTCCGGGGAAAGGAGGGGATGCCCTGAGAGGTGCGTTCTAACCTGGAGGTCGAGGAGTCTGCAGGCTAAGGCGTGGTCTTCAACGAGCAAGTGGAGGGGCACTTTGGGAATGCCCATTATCTGACGGCCCCACAGTTTCCTCCCTGCGGCCACACGCCCCCTGAACCAGGGGTGTGGACCGAGCGGCCCCATCCCTCATGCCACTTTTGTTTCAGGGTCCAATCAGTGAAGAAAGCTTGACAACAGCAGCAGCTGCATCAGAAGTGCCCCTCAGCATTTTTGAGGAAGAGGAGGCCAGCGGGGTCCCCACGGATGACCTGGTTCCCCTCACCCCTACAGCGGCCGCTGAGCAGGTGGTCCCTTCTGTAAGTGTCACCTAGCATCCTCTTTGGCTCACCACGGGGAGAGAGGTCAGCGTCCTGAGACAGGAGCAGTTAGCGGCCTTCCTGGAGGCGACTGCAGCTTTGCTGTGAGCACATAGCTAGGTAGGCTCCAGCTGGAGGGAGGAAGGTGCAGTGGAAGGAGCGTGATGGAGGAGTCCCGACCCTACTGCCTCCTAGCTTTGTCCAAGAAGAACTTTCTCAGAGAGTAGTCCAAAGTCAGAAGGGGTTGCTAGGGGAGGGGAGTGGTGAGTGCTCCATCACTGGAGAGGGAAGCTTAGAGGAGATGGGTATTTCAGAAGGGGATGTGCGAGTCTGAGCTTCTGTGAAGTGTTGGGAGTGATGACAGTTGCAGGTAAGAAAGCTTTTCGAAATTGGGCTGGCGCCATGGAACTGACAGTCACCAAAACTCACTGGCAGCCTTGTGCACATTGCATCATGGGTGAGGTGACGTGATTCCTCTTGTTGGTTTTCAGGGTCCTGGTGATGAAGAAGACTTAGCAGCAGCCACAACAGAGGAGCCCCTTACAGTGGCTGGGGCAGAGGAGTTGGGTGGCACTCTGCCCGAGGGGCCCCCGCTCCCCATACCCACAGTGGCTCCTGAGAGATGGGTCACTCCGGTAAGTGGCATCGAGGCGTGAAGATTTGACTTGGCCAGTCTCACAGAGGAGGGAAAGAAAGGTTGGAGTCCTGGGAGGGGCCTGCCCCTGGCTTTCTCAGACCTGGGTTTTCATTTTTGGTTCACAAAATGCCCAATTTGGGCCTTTGAGGGGCCTCCAACCTGGGAACACACAAAGAAGCCTGCCGTTTGCAGAGGAAAAAGCAAGAGGTAAAAATCTAGGGCACCTGGATTCATGTCCCAAATTGCCCTCAAATTGAAATGGGAACTTTCTAATAGGCAGAACTGTCCAAAGATGCAGAGGCCCATCTCAGGAGTCATGGATTCCCATCCTGGAGGTGGGGAAGCTTGTAAGACTTGGCAGGGACCATAGAGGGAATGGAAGCATCAAAGGTGTGTGTGAGGGTGACCTTCAAATCCCTCCAACGTGAGTTTCTGTGATTCTAGGCTGGAACTATGCCACCTCACGCAAATTCTTTTCATTTCTTTGGGCCTCAGTTTCCTCGTCTGTAGTAGAAGGTGAGGGAATGCAGGTCAGGGAGTGTTTGGAAAGCTCTGTACACAGGCATGGGGTCCCACCACGTAAGGACTATAACCTTGTCTTTTAGGAATAGGAAACCCAGAACTGGTCCTCAGCATGGGCTTGTGTGAATGAATGAAACTGCCCTTCAAATGTCAATATTTTTAAAGGAAAATATTTCATTGGTGACCAGCTTGGGTGCATCAGTTCCCCGAGTAACACTTGGTCACGCGCACTTTCAAAGCCTGGACTCGGGCTACAGGCATGTGGTCCCTTGGCCACAGCACTCCAGGGCTGACCGTGAGGGGAGGGGCTGCGGACAGGACGTTGGGGAGCCCACTGGGAGTCCTGAATGCCCATTGCTCACCGGCCTCTTCCGGGGCCCCGTGGTCATCAAGCGTGGCTTACTGTCTCTTTATTTCGAGTTGTCCATTCATTCATTGATTCACTCGTTGACTCAACGCAGAGCTCAGGGCCTCAGTCCAGACACGTGGAGATAGAGATGAGTGTGACCTCGTTCCTGTCCCCAAGGCATTCACAGTCGGGGGGCAGGAAATAAGCCGTTTGCACTGACATATATTAAGCACTCTGTGTTCCAAGTTTATCTGCTTCTGTTCACACCACCACTCTCAGGAACGAGGCGAACAGCCTCCATGTGACAGGTGAGGGAAGTGAGACGGGGAAGGAGAGAGACCTGCCCACCGTTGCCCGCCTCCAGGAGGCAGAGCTGGGATTTGAACCCAGGTGTGCTGGCCTGCAGGGCTCATGCTCTTGAGCCTCCTTGAGAGTGTGGTACGGTGGAAGGGCCCCCGACTGGGAGCCGGGAGGCTGAGGTCCCCCTTCCGGAGATGCCACTGACTCGTGGTGTCCTGAGGCCCGGTGTTACCATCTATAGACGGAGGGAGGAGAGCAGGGGCTCTGGTTTTAACACTGTCTGCATCTTAGAGACACCCCGGAAGCTTCAGACCCTGCAGGTGGCCGAGTCCAGGGCCAGACCAACTGAGGAGCCCCTGGGGCAGGGGCTCAGATGCCCAGGGGATTCTACTGGGCAACTCACACAGGATCCAGCGGGTGGGCTGTGCTGCCTGTGGCCCCCGCTCACACGCTGTGACCTCCTACACAGTCCCCTGCTCTTCTGCTCCTCACCCCGAGGGACATGCAAACCACCCAGACCACATCTCCCCACAGTGACGCCACGTCTGGTGTAGCAGTACTGGCTGGCCATGCACCTTTATGTAGAGCCAGTTCTCCTTTTTCTTCTTCAAAAACTTTTTGTTATGGAAATTCTAAAAATTCACAAAACAACTTAGAATAGTATAATAATCCCCCACATACCCATCACTCAATTTGAACAATTATCAACATTATGCCAATCATGCTTCATCCACCTCCTTCCGCCTTCTTTTTGGAGTAGAGGGGAGGGGTAGCCTGGAGTATTTTAAAACTAACCCCAAACATCAGATCATTTAACTCATAATACTTTCATGTGTATTGCTAATAGGGTGATCTAGGACCTTTTTTTCCCTTAGCCACAATGTCACCCATCAATGGTAATGATGGATGTCATCCATCTAACAAAATTAACAATGTTCCTTTATATTATCTAACACCCTAGTTGTTAAAAAAGTGCCTTTTTAGGGGCTGGCCCGGTGGTGTAGTGGTTAAGTTCACACGCTGTCCTTCAGCAGCCCAGGGTTCGCGGGTTTGGATCCCAGGCGCGGACCTATGCACCGCTTGTCAAGCCGTGCCGTGGCAGCGTCCCACATATAAAGTGGAGGAAGATGGGCACGGATGTCAGTCCAGGGCCAGTCTTCCTCACACACACAAAAAGTGCCTTTTACAGTTACTTTGAATCTGAATCCATACGAGGTCTACACACTGTTTGGCTGCTGTGTCTCTGCAGTCTCTTTTAGTCTATGATTGTCTCCCACCTTCTTTTTTCTTTTTTGCCCTTGATTTGTTGGAGAAACTGGGTCACTTGTCCTTGGATCCGTTGTGTTTTCTGCTTTGAGCAGTCGGCGTCTGGTGAGACTGGTGGGAGTGCTGATGGGCTTGGCTCACGACTTCTGAGAGGTTCTTTGTCGACACGTATTAACAACCACCAAACTGCACACTGTTGACCCAGACACTTCTGTTCTAGGAATTGAACCTAAAGGGGATACTCTGATATGTAGAAATGCTTTGTACACAAGGATGTTAATCTCAGTATTGTCCATAATAGAAGAGATTGGACACAGTTTAGCCAACAATTGGGGGTTAATTGAATAAAGTATAGTCAAATAATGGAACATTATGCAGCTATTAACATTATACTTATTAGGAGTATTTAATGATGGGGGAAAGTACTTACCATATAATGTTAAGCGAAAAAAGCTGGTTTTAAACTTGAGTATATTGTGTGGTCTTAACTATTTAAAAATAGACACATGCAAAAACCATGGAAGGAAATACCCTCCCTAAATGTCAGCAGTGTGGCGTCAAAGTGGTAGAACTGTGGGGAGTTGGCAGGTTCCTAATACGTTGTGGTGTTCCCGCCATGGGGCTTATGACTTGTACAGTGGGGCTTCTAAAAAGCTCTGAGAAGAGAGGGATGTTGCAGGAAGAGAGACGGAGAGAGGAAGGAGGAAGGGAGAAACAGACACGCGGTGTTTCATCCTGGCACCTAACTGATGAAGACAGATCCCCCAAGGGCCTGTGTCAGGAATCTGCGATGAACTGAAACGGGTGCCCTGAGTCCTGAGCACGTGGTTTAAAAGCACGATAAGGATGGTGAAGAGAGCACCCACTCTGGAATATCTTCAGGATCATTTTGAATCTCACAGTCACCCAAGGCAGTGGGTGCGAGGGGCATCCAGGCCTGGCTCTGCCACACATCTGTGACAGGTTTCTTCACCTCTCTCGGTTCACTCATGCATGAAATGGGGAGCAGAGCACCTACCTCTTGGGTTGTGGTGAAGATGAAATGAGCATTTCATGTATTTATCATGATAAATACATAAATATCATGTATTTCATGAAATATATGGAAAACTTTATCTAGCACATAGTATACACTCAACAAATTAGGTAGATAGAATTATTTTGCAGATGAGGCCCAGAGAGGGTTAGGGGTTTGCTCAACGTCACACAGCTCCCAGGAGTCAAGTAGGGGTGAGCACCTTAGTGCCTGGACTTTCTCCCTTTGTTTTTTGCACTGTCCACAACCACCCGTCTTCAGACATGAGCCAGAAGTGGGTCAGCAAAGCCCACATGGTCCAAATGAGGTCATGCCATTTCTAAGATTTTCCCACTAGTCATTTGGCAAATACTTAGCGAGAGCCTATTATCTGCTGGGTGCAGGGGACACAGCAGAGACCAGACAGCCACACCCCTCTCTTCATGGGGCTCGCTGCCCCCAGCCCAGAGCAAGCCCCCAGCTCATGCCCAGCTCACTGACCAGGACCAGGGACCGACGTCAGAGCGGAGCAGCTCCATGTCCCAAAGCCGTGGACCAGGTTTTAACCACATCTTGTTTTAGGCTCAGAGGACATGTGGGAATGAAAGGACAGGTTGGACCCAAAGGAGAAAAGATTGGCGCTGTGACCATTCCGGGGAACACACTGGCTCTGAGCAAGTGCCCTAAGCATGTTGTTTGGGGTTAATGTAATCAATTCTGATCAAGGGAATAGTAGAGGCGGTAAGAGGACTGAGCCCAGAAGAGAACGAATTGAGACTCTGGGAGAATCACGAAAACAGCACGGGGCTCAGTTCCGGCCACGTCTCTTCTTCCCGATCAGTGACCTCGGCCAAGTCTCTTGACCTCTGCAGGCCTCGGTTTCCCTATCTGTAATTGGAGGGTCCTTCCATTTCTGGTGTTCTGTCTGAGCTCTGGACTCTGCCCTGGTTTTCTCCCTGGGAAAGGGTTGCACAGACAGGAGCTTCAGGCAACCAGAGACCTAAGTTTGCTTCTGAGTAGCTGTAGGATTTCAGGAAAGGTCTTTATCTCTTCTTTGCTTCAGTTTCTCCATCTGTAAAATGGGGTGGGGACGACTACCCCACAAGGGGGTAGCTGGAATGAAATGAGGCAGTGTTTGTGGACATGCTTTGTCTGGTGTCTGTCACCACAGAAAAATAACAAATTCCTCCTACCGAAGCAACTGGTGATGTTAAAACTGTGGCCTAGGGGATGTGCCCCCAGTGACCTGGGCCACGGCCCCCAGGAGCCCCACATCGTGGGGCGGTCCTGCCCCAGGAGCCTGATCTGGCCATAGACAGCAACCTGGCTGCCTCTGGGACCCTTCCCGTCTCCACTCTGGCCCTGGTCCTCTGCCCTCCTTGCCCCTCCCAGGGCTGCCTGAGGCTGTCCCCCAGGGGCAGAGGGTGCTCCAGCCCTGGTGCCTCACAAGGCTGCCAGTGGGGGTGTAGGGAAGGGAGGGCTGGGGTCTGGGGTCTCCCTGCTCTGGCCGCCTCAGTGGACTTCAGAAGCCAGCAGGGTTCTGGGGGACAGCAGGGTGTCTGAGAGAGGGCATCACACCACACAGTTTTTATGGGATTTCACTGTCCGTGTTCCCATTCCTTTTGGTGGCTCAGGCCATTCTGTCACCTTATTTGTCAGGACTGCCCATTTCTCTGGACCCTTTTTGACAGCCAGAAGCCCCCCGGGATGCCACCTTTCTCGTTTTCTTGTTTTCTTATCCTTTCCAAATGGGTGCTCCTGTCACTCCGAAAGCCTTTGCTGGCCAGGTGCTGGGACCTGGAGGTGATTCAGGCACCGTGCCTGTCCTCCAGGAGCCCACTGTCCCAGGGAGGCAGCCCTATGAGCAGTAAAGGCCCCAAAAGGCTACAGGGCTGGTGGGAGGAGCGGGGTGGGCAGGACCGGCTTCCGAGGAAGGCCGTGTTGGGCCTGGACATCAGTGCACCAGCAGGACCCGGACCAGGGGGGAGTCCCTGCTGACAAGAGGGGTGTATGTGCAACGCCTGTCCACTCTACTGGGTTCCTTCCACCACACACCCCCTCAAGTGTGGTGCAGAAACCACTCAGTGGGGTTCCAAGTGGGACAAGGTGCCCCTTAGGCTGGCTGATACAGAACAGTGCCTTCTTCACGCCTGCATGAGCCTCATCTTACAGATGAGCACAGTTTCTACAGAGAGGGAAGGGGACAGCGGGAGGGGTGCCCAGGGCTCCTCTGACCAGCTTGTTCTCTTTAGGGTGACACTGAGGAGGGGCTTCCTGGCCCCGCTGGAACTGCCGGGCCTGCTGGACCCACGGTGAGATTCCCACCAGGCTCGTCACACACACCGTGAGCAGGGGCTGAGGGTGCCACAGGCGGATTCTTCCTGTCAGCCCAGAGTGCCTTCCGGTCAGACCTCAGGGCTCTTGCCTCTGCCAGAACCCTCAGTGAGCTCAGGAGCAGAATCTGTTTACATCCTGTTTATATCCTGCATCCTGAATGGCCCACAGGTCCCTCAAACTCAACTCGTCCCAGACGGGACTCATCACCATGCCCCCAGAACTGCTCCTCCTCCAGGGTCCCCATCTCTGGGATGGCACCCCATCTCCCAGGCCACCAAGAGAGAAAGCAGGAAACGTCTTTGAGTACCCCCCGCCCGCCATCTAGTAAGTCCCCCGTCCAGCTATGTAATGCCTCCTTGTCCCCCAAATGATGGCAACAGCCTCCTAACTGGTCTCCCTGCCTCCCTTCTCCCACGTACATGCACACACCACCGCCTCCTTCCTAAAGCCAGCTCTAACCCCTAACCCAGCTCCTCCCTGGAGCCTCTCAACTGGTGTTCCCCACACACCCTCAATGATTGAATTAGGCCTCGCCTGGTTCCTGTCTTCTAGAGTTAAGTACCAGCAAGGTGTTCTGGAAATTCCATTTTGTTCTTTGGAGGAACTGATGGCATTCGCCAAATATGCACAGAGTGCCTTCTCGGTGCCAGATCTCTTGCTGGACATTGGGCACCCAGACGTGTCATAGGACTGGGCCGAATTGGAGGAGTCCTAGTCTAGAGGGGCTGGCAGACACACACACACAACTAAGCTTCAAGTCAGGTGGTCCTGACACCAAATCAAGACCTCAGCAGAGGCCAGTGGGAACACAGAAAAGAAGAGATGAACTCTGCCTGAAAATGGGGTGGGGAGGGCTTCACAGAGGAAGTGAGCATGGAACTGGGCCTTGAAGGGTGAGCAGGGATTTGAAAGGCAGGAAAGGAGGCTGAAGAGAGATGGGAAGGAGTGGAGTATGTTTGAGGACGGGCTGCAAGTTGGCTGCACAGCTGGGAGGTGGGGCGGGAGGAGAGTCGCAGTAGAGGAGAGTGGGAGAGGAGGCAGGGGGGAAACTTGGCACAGCAGTCATGGGGCAACAGAAAATGGGAAAGCTTTTGGTGACATGACTGTCCTTGGAGAATGGCAGTTGAAACCAAGGTGTGAGAATGTCTTCTCTCTCCAGGTGGGAGCGGAGGCTGAGGGCTCTGGCCTGGGCGGGGGCTTGGACTTCAGCTCTGGCTCTGGTGACCTGGCGCACAGCGAGGAGGAGCTGTTGAGAGTGAGTGTTCTGGGATTGCCTTCCCAGTAATCCCGGAGGGAGGGCCGCAGGGCGGATACAGACGAAACCAGATTGGCCACTGCTGAGAATTGCTGAGGCTGGTGTGGGCTCCTGGGAGTTCATTATACTTTTCACTCTACATTTGTGTATCTTTCACATTTTCCACTTTGATCAGTTTTGCTTTGTTTTAAGTGAGCATGAGCCTTAGTTTATATTCAGGACCTCCACTTCCCTACTTGCCTCATTTCCCTGGCAGCCTTCTCCAGCAGGCTGCTCCACAGCAAGTATGCCCATGACCTTCACCTCTACAACCTGGCTTCTGCCCTACCCCCTTCCACCTCTTAACCGTCACAGAGACCTGCTGGCCCCTTCTCTAGGCAGCATTTCACACTTTGGCTTCCAGAACCTTCTTGAAATCCTCCCTACCCTGAGGCGACCCCCTCCCAACCTCCTCAGACCACTCCTTCTCCCTCTTTGTTCTTGCTTCCCAGGTGGGCCAGCCTCCTGCCCAAGGCTGGGCCTCCACTGGTCCCTGGTCCCCTCCCCGGGGAGCACCTCCCTTCTCCAGCTGGGGCTAGCACCTCTGTCCCTGGGTCTCCAACCTCATTTCCAGCCCTTCCTCTGAGCCCTTGTGCCGAATCCCAAACTAGAAGGCTCCACTCGGCTGCCCTTCTGCCCACTCGCCATGACAGGGCTGGAGGGTTCTGGGCCCACCCGATGAGTGGAACGGGAGCCAGGTGGGTCTTTCAGGCTGATGGGATCAGCCAACCCAGCCAGAGGCTGAGAAGACTAGTACACGGCAGGAAGATTTTTAACAAGGGTTAACAACAGCCAGTTTTTAACCAACTTCTTCATTAATCAGAAAACTAAATTAGCCAGAGCGCCTCTGAAAATTCCAACTAAATTTTTATTGTATACATAATCTAGGGAGAAAATGTGATTTAATGGGCTCCAGAAAGACCTGGATTCAGATTCCAGCTCTTCTAGTAATTAGCTGTGAGTGTGTGAGCCCTAGAGCAAGTCCCACCATCTCACTGACCCTCAGTTTCCCCATCTGCTAAGTGGGAACACCAGTCTCTACGTGTGAGGTTATTGTAAGGAATGGAGAGAATGGGTGGAACATACATGCTCAGTGTATATTTATCCCCTCCCCCACTCTTTCTTAATGGAGTGTCTGTTTTTTAGGGTCCCCCAGGCCCCCCGGGCCCACCTGGCTTACCTGGGATTCCAGGAAAACCAGGAACTGATGTTTTCGTGGGACCCCCTGGATCTCCTGGAGAGGATGGAGCTGCTGGTGAACCCGGGCCCCCGGTGAGCCACTGAAGTCATCTTCCCCTCTCTGTGGCCACAGGGCTTCCTTTAGCCAGGGAGGGGCACACAGACTGCGGGGCTCCAGCACTAAGGCTTAAAGACAGGGAACAAGCAGCTAGCTAACGTTTGTAAACAAATATCCTCCTCAGCCGAGTCATTGCTAAGACTCATAAGAAGCAGCAGCCAAGAAAAACATCTTCCTACACATTATTTTGCTGCTTTGTCTTAGTTAGGATAAGAAATGCAGACTCATAGAATCTTGGAATCATAGGACATCAGTGCTGAGCCTGGGGTGGGAGACCGTCAGAGACCATCTAGTCCAACCCTGCTGCTGACTTCCCCCACAGAGGAGAAAACGCAATCCAGAGAGTGAAGGACACTAGTCCATGGGTGCATGGCCAGCAGTGGCCGAGCTGGGGGCATTCTGCCTTGGACCCGGCACAAGGCCCTGGACCCATTGGCCTCACCCACCAGGTCCTCCCCAACCAGGAAGAGTTTGTATTTGATTCTTATCAGAAATGTTGTGAGCTGATTGTCATTGATGTTCCCCAGGGCCCTGAGGGACAGCCTGGACTTGATGGAGCCTCCGGCCTTCCTGGAATGAAAGGGGAGAAGGTACGGGGAAGGCGGGAGGGTTTCAACCATGGAAGCCACCAGGCCCACATTGTCTCTCCCTGACCTCTAAGCCTGACCTTGCCTCTTATGTGAATGACCCTATCTAATCCCCTCCTGGTCCTCCCTGCTAGATGTCCCCATCCTGGGGCTCTTATACCCAAACCTGTACTCAGCATCTTCCCTGCCCACTCCTGCACATTCCCAGCTTCAGTGAATGGTGCTGCCATCTACCCAGTTGCCTGGACTCAAAAAAGGGTCTTCTCTACCTCCTCCCTCCTCTCCCTTTCCTGTCATGATCCGTCCGTTGCCAAGACTGGCCAGTCTGAAGTCCACATCTCTCACCTCTCTCTCACCCTGATCTGACATTCATCTCTCCTCGCCCATGGTGTGGCATCAGGGTCCTCACTGGTGCCCCCTTCTCCCCACCCACAATCCAGCCTCCACCCGCCTGCCCAGTCCATCTTCCTCCAGCAGGCTCTCATCAGTCACTGCCCTCTCCACGGACTCCCCGCTGCCTGCAGGACAACACCCTGATCTTGTGGAGACCTTCAAGGCCCTTGCTGACCTCCCTTTCTGGCTCCATCTCCCACCGCTCCCTCACATGCCCTCCGGACCAGCCAGCCTACCCTACTGACATGCTCTGGGCTGCTCCTTCTCTGCAGCCTCCTGGTCTTGGGACGCACTTTTCTTTCTGTCTTGGATGTCCTTTCCCTCTTCTCATTCTCCAAGGCCCAGTTCAGACATATCCTCTGGGAAGCTCTCCCGGCTCTCTATGAGCAGAAAGCACCCCTCCTGCCCCCACTTCCCTTTAGCACACTATTTATTCTGCTGGGACCCCTCTTAGCCAATGACACCAAGTCTGTTAGCCTCCCTGTCTGCTCCTCACCCCGCCCTGACCAACAAGAGCACTGGTACTTTCTGTGCATCCTTAGAACCTAGGGGGGCCTCTGTGAGCCTTTGATGAATGAATGAAACCTCTTCAGGCACCATTTTAATCTCCCATTCCCAGTGTCTTGCATACCTTCCCTCTCCTCTTTCTCTGAATCCTCTCTCCTCTCCTGTCTGTAAGCTCTGCTTGGTGCTGTGGGGGTTGGGTTCCTGCCCCTGCGTGTTCCCAGCCTGAGTGATGAGATAAGCCATGTCCTGCAAAGGGCACCCATAAAGATAAGGTGAGCCTCCTTCTAGTCATGCGGTCGTGCATTTCACTGGGGGTCCGTCCCAGTGGGGGCTTTCTGTGTACCCCACCCGGAAGAAGTCGTGGAAAATGCAGACTCCCTAGACACCACCATCTTCACTGAACTGAATTGTCAGTTTCCGTCAGCTTTCAAGCGTGTTTATTTTAATTGAAACAGTAACTCGATTTTCGTGGAAAGCTCATTTCTCAGAAAAAGAAGAAAAACAATTGTCGAGCTTTATAGAACTCATTTTACATGTACCAACTATTTCATAAGAAATTAAATTTTGCAGGAAACATCACAGACCTACACTCATCTTCCCGGTTCCTCTTACCAGCTTCCCCCTACCCACCCCACAGACCCCGCCCATGGTCCTCCTGCACTTAAAAATACCCACTCCCACAGCCGCACAGGAACACCTGCGCAGGTGCACTCCGCAACTGCTCAGAGACTTGGTTGTGCGCAGAGCGGCAGGCTGGCCCAGGAGAATTGTTGGAGAAAAATCACATTTTTTCCACCTGAAATTTGCTATGCTTTCTGGTCAAGTAAAAGCAGAATCTACAAGGACTTGGAAATTTGCATCTCGAGACCTCGAGGGAAATCTTGCGCACGACATTTACCTTAAAAAAAAAAAGGTAAACCGAGGAGCAGGGTCTCTGTTGTAAAATAACAAAAAAAGTGCTAAAGAAAATGAGTAATCGCAGGGATGTAACACCGCATAAGATCCAATGATACATTTGATCCTTGACTCCTCTCAATATCCATTCTTCAACTTGCACACCTCCAGTGATGAGGGGCTCATTCCCTGCCCAGGCAATGCTTTCCAGGGTTGCGTGGACACTTGTAGGGAGGCCTTTCCTCACGCTGCTGGAAGATCAGCCTCTCTTCTCTCTTGCAGGACACATTGACCAGTCTAGGCAGTTGTCTAAAGTGGGGTTTTTCCCCAAAGAATAAGGTCCAGTTTATTTGGCTGGAAAAAAAATATTGTTATATATAATCATTATTTTCAAATGTGGGATTGTCGTCAAAATGTGGATAGTCATTAGGAATTTATCAAATGGATTATTCTATGTTGAGTTTGATGGTAGAAGTATTCCTCAATTTATTTTCCCCAAATTAAGATGAGAGCTACTCTGAGATCTTTAGCCCATAAAGGAACAGGTGAAGAGTAGCCTGCTTTCTCATCTACAGAATGCTTCTGGAAAGGATGCTGAAGAACGTGCTGGAGATGGGCCTCTGTACAATTCCTTTCTGCTTTTTGCACTGTGGGTTCTACCGTCCAGGTCTTCAGTACATACCTAGGATTAACAGCTGTCATTCTTCTCCGTCTTTCACAATCTGAATCATTCATTGTATTCTTCAGTCTCAGAAGGTGCCGGGACACCCAGGCAGAAAAGAGTTTGTGCTTTGAAATTTTCTTCAGTGCCCAGAGTTGCTGAGGAACCTTGAGTCCCCAGCAACTGGCTTTGAGAAATCTCACCGAGCTGCCGAAGTGTCACTGTTTGGCGTTGGAAAACCAGCTTCTGCCTTTACCGTGAGATGTAAGAGAAATACAAGGAAATCATCATCCCCTTCCTTTTCTCCAAGTAATCCCAATTTGGCTTTGAGCCCTTCTCTAGATCTTACATGATGAAGAACGGGGTACCCCTTAAGAACCTGAGCTGCGAGCTGCTCTTAACTAGGGCCCAGTAATGTGTTTAGAGCTTGTAACAACTTGTTTCAATTAATTATATCGGCCTGATTTCCTATTTTGTATCTTCTTTCATCACCATCGGGTGTGTTTGGTACGAAATCCGGGTCGTAGACCTCCATAAAACCAAATAGACTGTAGTCAATTGTAAGTGTAACAAATTGAAGTTATCAGTATAACAGACATCATGAGCAAAACGACAGACATCCACAAGGCAGTAAGTTGTGCCATCTCAGATACCACAACAGAGGAGAAATCCACGTATTTATGAGGTTTCTTGATGTTCCTGTATGACGATGTCTAATAATGTCCTTATCAAATCCAGTTACCATAATGAGTGGAAATTTCTAATGAATTCTAAACCATGATTTTGCAGCGTGCAGCTCTCCTGCACCTCGTTCTTGCACGATGTTTTCGTTGTAGAGCTGATCTCTCCATCCCTCATCATCACAACCAGACTTGCAGCTCTGCGGGTTGGAATTCCAAGGCAGTGCGTAGCCCCACTACACAACAACTCTCTCACTAAGGAATGAAGTCCACCACCACCATCACCATTTCAGGAGTGTGGGGTCTTTGCTGACCCTTTTAATTGGAGCCCTCACTTTTCACTCTACCTGTTCATGTAAATTCCAAAAAGAGGAGCCCTTCCATCCGCAAGCTGATCTGCTCATTTTCCCAAATGGTGGCCACCAAATCTGTGAGCCGATGGAATGGGTCCCAATACTATCTCTTCACATGTACACACTGGATAAAATCATCTGCTTCTGAAACAGATAAATCAAGGTCCAAAACATCTTCTAGAACTTCCTTTGAAACTGCTGCAAGACCTACTCTTAACTTAAAAGGAGTCAGCAAGTTAATTGAAAAAATATTGTTTTTCATTTTAAGAACATAATTTTCTTTAACAGCATCAAATGGCAACACAACATAAGGTCTTCAGAGGATGGAGTCCAAAAGTCAAGAGATGAGGCTAATTTAACTACTATTTCACAATAACTCTGTCTGTGGTTTGACTTGTTACTGGAAAGATGTGTAAGGTTGGCGCCTTCAAGGACAGATTGCGACAGGCAGCAGACAACGGCGTGGCTGGTCTCACCCAAGAGAAGCGGATACAGATACTGTAGCCTCCGGATTAGGCAGTACAACTGGAACCCAATTCTTTTTGTCTCTGCCCTGGGTGGACGGTCACGCCTAGTTTCTCCTGTGTCAGGCTGGCAGGCAGGGAAGTGACCAGGCCCAGCCACCTTCTCCCAGCACGCCTTCTCCTCCCGCCACCCCATAATGTCCAGGCCATCTGTAGCCTGATTCTGTAATTCTCTCTTCAGATGGTCTCTTCTGTTATTCAGCCCTTCTACAGAGTTTTTCCCTTCATGGTCGTATATTTTTATTTCTAAGATCTCTAAGTGATTCTTTTCCCTAAGCTCTGTTCTTATTTCATAGTAGTTTGTCCTTGTTTCATGGCTGTAATGTCCTCCCTTTTCTCTCTGAGAATATATACTGTGTACTTAGGATGTGTTCTTAACTCTGTTCCCTCCAGTGTCCATTCCATGTTGACGCTGTTGCCTCTTTCACAGTGTTGCTTTCCCTCAGATGCCTGGTGTTTCTTGCTTGTGTGTTTGCTTTAGAAACTGGAATCCCTCTTTAGTCTGTTGTCTACCTCTGTTTGTGCAGATGGCTGGGGATATGGGCAGTAGCTCCTCTGAGACTTGCCGGTTTCAGGAAAGGAGTGGGAGGAGTAGGGTGTGCCATCAAGCAGGACACCTCATCAGCTGATCTTATGAGTTTGGAGTACTCCTGGGCCTCCCAGGGTTCCTTAGCCAACCAGGGCTCCACTCTCTCCCTTTGCTCCAGGAAACAACTCTTGTTCTTGTCCTGGGAGTGGGCGTGGGAGGTGAGGGCAGGTGAGCAGGGTTCGATGGCTGTGCTGCTCCAGAATTTCCACCTCTCTCCCTGCCACAGCTACACCCAGCTCCGGGCTGCAGGATACTTTTCTCCCTGTGGTTTCTCTCCACGACCAAAGCCTCTGGCTTCAGCTTCCCATGTTTTCTCTTCGGCGTTCCTCAGTATTTCAGGTTCAGTGTCCCTTGCCATCTTGTTTTTGAGCATGACTATTTTGGAATCATCCACTCTGTCATATGGATTTGAGACGTAATAATCAGGTGTCGGGGCCTTCTGTGTGGCCATGGAATGCTGGCCTCTTCTCTTGCAGGTGCTTCTGTGGTTTCCTCGGAGATTCTCCAGCTGGGGGTCCCCAACCTCAGTCCCTGGATGTGGGGCAGTGTCCCCTGTGGCTGACCACTCCTGACCATCGGCCCCCCTTGGTCCTCCCCTCTGCTCAGAGCTCACAGCTGGCTCCTTTCTGTGGGATCCACATCAACCCCCCCAGGAAACCTGTACTGTGGCCCCTCTGGGGATGGACACACAACCTGCTTTAGAGCAACACTCACTCCCCATTCTGAGGCTGCTCCAGCAGCTTTTGGTCTTTAGATTTTTCTAGAAGAGAGTCAGTCATCCTTCCACATATCTCCAAAAGCCTAGGGAATACATATCAAGTTCTCAAAGCCCCTTCCCTTGGCTCGACTGGGGGAAGCAGCCGTTTACTTCCATCATGGGAGGGTTGGGGAAGGGGACTTCCTGGTACACTCACAGCTCTCCAAGGGAATTCTTCCTCTGCAATCTCTCCTTGGTTAATCTTTTTACTCTTGAGCTGGGAAATGAGCTAATAGTTGAATGCTTTCCTCATGGCCTGCCTAGCAAACTAACAACTCTTGTAATGTGCTCAGCTTTGAGACACCAACCAAAACTGGGACAGGAAGAGTCCCACTTTAATACCCTGCTACTTAAGAGTCTACAATTCTGCATTTTCTTCTGAATCTACCTAATGAAATATACATTAATTGGCCCTTGGTTTTTGTTTTTTATTTTCAGGGAGCAAGAGGGCCTAATGGCTCAGTTGGTGAAAAGGTAAAAAAAAAAAAAAGGAAAAGGAAGATCTTTCTCCTCTTCCCTCCTGTTTCCCTGGGTTTACTGTAATTGGACTGTTGGGCTGGAGTATTGATCATAGAAACGTCATGGAGCGGAGAGAAAGGCGTCTCAAAGGAACTGCTCGGGGAGGGCGGAACAGCTGGAGAGGAGGGCAGTGAAGAACCTGCGACGTGTTCTGCTTCCTCACCCCCTCCACACAAACGCGCTCAGATGAGTGCGTCAGCTTATCTCCAAGTGAACTGTCAATCAGGGAGACAGCTGTTTCTGTAATGTTAAGGCGTCTTGATCAGAGAATCCATCCACCTAATTAAGTTCCGAGAACGATTTTGTGACTCAGGCGTGTTTGTTCTTCCTTCCGTGAGTGAACCCAGGGCTGCATAATCAGCCTGTCCTTCCTTACAGGGTGACCCCGGCAGCAGAGGCTTACCAGGACCCCCGGGGAAGAACGGACAAGTGGGCACTCCTGGGGTCATGGGACCCCCAGGGCCTCCTGGACCCCCCGGGCCCCCAGGCCCTGGATGTGCAATGGGACTTGGATTTGAGGTACTTTTCCCCTTTCTGTGGTTAAAGAACAATGTGCATGAAGGACTACTGGCAAGAGCAGCTAACTGACCGCTGGTCCGAGTGCTAGCTTCCCACTGAGCCCCGGCTCACAGCACCACACCTGGCACAAGGAGACGCTCAGGAATTGGATTTGAAATTCCCACTCTTCTCCCTTCCCTAGGATACCGAAGGCTCCGGAAGCATCAGGCTGTTGCATGAACCCAGAATCTCCGGACCGGTGGCTTCAAGTGTGGGTTGACTTTTGAAACCTTCCTTTTGAGGGTTGTCGGGCTGGAGTGAGGAGGCTGTGGGGTGCCCTCCTGGCTCTGCTACTTTCAATAATTCACCCTCTCTGTGCCTCCCGCTTCCAGCTGGAAAATGGGGAGACCAGGTGCTCTTCACAGCTTGTTTCTTTGAGGAGCAGCACAGAAGTTTTGCACAAAACCTCATGTGGGGAAACTTGAAAATCATTTCTCTCTCTCTCTTTCTCTCTCTCTCCAGTCCGTTACCGTTAAGCATCTCTGCTTCATTGCCTCCTTCCTGCTGCCCCACTCAATACTCACACTTTGCCCCATTTCAGAACCCCGTGCTCCTGACAAGGGCCCCTCCCCTTACGTCTAGTCCCGGGAGGTGTGGTTCATCTTCTGCTTGACGCCTGCTCTAAAGAGGGCCAACCCCAGGATCTCATGACCTTTGTCAAGTGGGCCCCAGAGCTGAGCAGTCCAGTCCAGGGCAAAGAGGGCCTCGCAGAGGGGAGCAGCACAGCCCCCTCCATGATCAAATAGGAATATGTTCCCCCATCCCCCAGATGCAGAGGGCTCTGAGATTCAGGGTCAAGAGGACACTCACCCCGTGCTGGGAGAGGGCCTCTGGTCCTCTCACTCTCTGTGGGATGTTCCTTCCTTCTTACCCTGGAAGGTTTCCTTCTTCTGTTCTCCCATTGCCTGGGACAAAATCCATGTGAGAGCTTAGGGAGAGATGGGAAGATGGAGGAGAGATGGAGAGTGAGCCAAGTGAATAGAAGAAAACCAAAGAATATTTATTTGTTTTGTTTGTTTTGCCAGGGTCCCAAAGGAGAAAAAGGAGACCAGGGACCCAAGGTGAGGTCGTGGATCCGAGGTGGGGGTGGGAGAAGTTTCCAGTCTGGTTCTAGGAGTATTAACCATGTACAATGGTTTTTTTTCTTTTCTCATTGCTGTATCCAGGGTGACAGAGGGATGGATGGAGCCAGCATTGTGGGACCCCCTGGGCCCAGGGGCCCGCCAGGGCGCATTGAGATCTTGTCTAGTGTGAGTACTATCCAGGTCAGAGTGAGGCTGTGTGTCTTCTGCCTTTGCTAAAGGGGAGAGGAGGTTGTCCACAACTTCAGGGCCTTCAGGGCTGCTGGTTATGCAGGGGGCACATAGCCGGCATCTGACCTTGGAGTTTCCACCTGTCAGCATGCCCCACCTGTCTGTTCCTAGCTGGGTACTACTGTTCTCTCACCTCATGCTTCTGGAACACTCTCTTTTGGTTGGCAGCATTTGTAGTCAGGAAAATGGCTGTAACAGAGCTGTAACTGAGCGGCAAAGGAACATACGTAGGGGAACAAGGGAGGAAAGACAGTTTGGGATATGAGAAATCAAGGAAGACTTTCTGGAGGAAGTGTCTTTGAGCAGGGACTTGAAAGCTGAGAAGGATTTTACCAGATAAGCATGAAGGACAGGACTTCTGGAATGCAGGTGGTAGGGACACTCTGTGCCAAAGCACAGAATAGAAAAACATGGGTGTGTCCAAGGCACAGGGAGCTGATGAGCATGGGGGCGGGTGGAGAATAATGGAAATTTGTAAAGAAGACTGGGGTGTGGGCTGGGACCAGATCACGGGCCATTTAGTATTAGGACATCACATTTGGAAAAATCAGGGCCCTTCTGAGAGAAATGATGTCATACTGGCAGACAACAAAAAGACAAAGTCCCACATAACTGGAAAAAGGATGACTAGAGTAGAAAAGCATGATTGAAAAATATCAAGTGTGGGTAAGAGTGGAGGGAATAGGTAATTTCATGTGTTTCTGGTGGAGGTGTCATTGTTCCTTTGGACAGCTCTTTGGCCATCTGTTAAAATTAAAAACGTCCATGCCCAAAAATTCCACATGGAAAGATCAAAGTCAAAAAAGCAAGTTGAGGGCTGGCCCCATGGCTTAGCGGTTAAGTGCGTGCGCTCCGCTGCTGGCGGCCCGGGTTCGGATCCCGGGCGTGCACCAACGCACCGCTTCTCCGGCCATGCTGAGGCCACATCCCACATGCTGCAACTGGAAGGATGTGCAACTATGACATACAACTATCTACTGGGGCTTTGGAAGAAAAATAAATAAATAAAATTATTAAAAAAAAAAAAAAAAAGCAAGTTGAAGGATAATACGTGCAGCCCGATGCCATTTATATAAAACAATTGTGTGGACAAACACACACACACACCAACAACACTACATGCTTTCTGAATTTTTAAATTTTTTTTTAAATTTTAAAAGAGAGAAAGCATTCATGTATTGTGCAATTTTAAGATTCATGGAGAGAGGAAAGTGATAAGGCAGCTCAGAGCTGTTCTGTAAGAAGTGGGAGGGAGGGGTGTGTTGGCAGTGGGTCTGGGGTGTTATCATGTCTGCCCGTGTTCTGCCATGCTAGGTGACTTCATTTAAAGCCTTGCTGCCAGGAGCAAGGAGGAACACGTGCCAGCCTCTGTCGCATTGTCTGCTTTTTCTTTTTCAGTCTTTGATCAACGTCACCGATGGATTCATGAATCTCTCGGGCATTCCTGAGCTCATCGGGCGTCCGGTGTGTATCCCCAGCTGCCCTAGAGTGCACTTGCCACCCACATGCCCCTGTTAAAACTAAGTTGGGTTGGTTTGGAATCCTTTTAGCTCCTGAAGCATAAAGCTAGACTATATCAAAGTAGAAAGGAAAGAGGACTTTGCGTGTCTGAGAAGTTGCTGTCACATTGATTTGGTCATGTGGGGAATTTGGTCCACTGCATGGAGGCTCCCAGTCCCATGCATCGGAAATCTGTGTAATGGAAATCAGAGAACCATAAGTCACAAACCGATTGACGTCTGTGCAACGCTTTTGTCTACACGATCTCATGTCACAGAACAGGAAGAGCCTAGAGAGACCTGTCTTTGTGTTAATGGGGAAACGGGTGCACGAGGAGGGAATGTGACTTGCTTCAGTCTTTCTGGCCCCATTTTAGAGATCAGGAACACCGAAGAAGCTACATTATCTCTGCAAGTTCACAGAGTCGGTCCATGGCACAACAAGGCCTAAGAGGAAGGAAGCTTCCTCCTGGAGCCTGTGCAATAAATCCCCCTTGCGTCTTCCAGCATCTGCTGGCACAGCCAGGGAGAGAGGAAAGAGCTCTGGTCTTAGGAGCCCTGGGGTTCCAGCCCCGTTTCCACTACACACCACTCTGAGCTTCTGATCCTCTTCTCTGATAACACCTCACCAGCTTTTGGGGCAGCTTACAAGAGGTGATGGTTGCAAACTATGGCACTCTGTGTAAGCCAACATGGAGATTGAGGCTTATACTTCCACAGCTGTGCAATCCAGATGTCCTGGGGGCCACCCACCTCTGCAGTCCCAGTGAGGTTGGCTTGAACCCCCACCATCCACGTCCTGGGGAAATTTGGTGCCCTCCTCAAGGCTTCTGCAAATATCTGGGAGGCTCCTCTGGCGCCAGTTTCTCCTTCTGTTGAGTGACCTCTGTTGGGGGGTCGTCTCGCTGTTTCTTCTGAACTACATCCAAAGGGGCTCCCTTTCCTTGATTTCTACCAAAATTATCCCAAACACCCCAATATTCAAACCCTAAAGCAAACCAGCTAACAAGCAAAAGTAATTTCACAGAAGGTGTTGGTTTTCCCCAAACTTTTGGAGGTTTAGCTTGTTAGGTGGGTTGATACTGAAGCAAAACACTGACAGCCTAAAATCGAAGATTCGGCATCTCTGTTCTGAGTCCCTGGACTCTTCTGCCTGCATTGCTGCGCCCCCACCTTCTCTCTCTTCCGCGCCCCTAGCATCCTGCTTCCTTCCCAGTCACTGTCCTCCAGGGTCCCCTTCATCCCTAACGGAGGATCAGGCTTTTTCCTCCTCAGAGGCAGTTCCCTCCCTGAGAGGACCTGAGAGGACTCGAGTCCTGGCCAATGCCCTTATGCTTTTCCACCCTGCTGTGTATACAGTGCCTTGAGAAACTTGTTGCCATCCAGCCATCTCCCTCTGTGTACATATTCTGCCAAACTCATACGCTTTTAATAGGTATGTGGGTATCTGGCTGGCAGGAGGAAGAGTCCTGGCCCCATGTGGGGTGAACCACAGACACTCTTTGCCCGGGCCTTTATAATGGCTGATTCTTAAAAATTCTCATTCCTACAGAGGGAAAAGAACTGAGTCTCACCAACATGTCCCCACTTACCCCCCAAATACTCACTTGGAATTTGGAAACTTGTTGTCCGAGAGTATTTGTCGAGGTCCGGTGCTGCGTTCATCGCCCCCAGAGGTTTCAGATGCTGAGTAATTTCACAGAGGACGAGGCTGCCACTTAAAGTGCAGAGAGTTCTGGCTTGGGGGAGGGGACTCTGGGCTCCTGGGCACAGCTTCTGGCTGTGTCTCTAACTAGCTATGTGACTGCACAGTTCCTTCCCCTCTGGGGCCTCAGCATCCTCCTCTGTAAAATGGGTCGTGGGCCCCGCTATGTGGGAACATGCTTGGGCCTTTGGGAGGTGCTGGCAGGGAGCGGGCGCCTGAGGCACAGCGTTCCTGCTGGCACCTAACCCTCATGCTTTGTCTTTGGTGTGTTACAGGGCCCAGTGGGCATGCCTGGGCTGCCAGGATTTCCAGTAAGTACCACAGTAGCCATCTTCCCTCTGTGCCCTGTGGCTGTGCTCATTCTGTTCCTCCCACCTGCAATGCCGTTCTCCTCCATCTGCACGACCAAGCTCTAGCGCCATCTTGTTCACGTGACCTTTCCTCCTTGCCCCTCACCTGGAGTGACCCTTCCCTACCTTGAGTCCCACAGGGCTTTATTTTCGCCTATGCTATGGTTCTTTTCTGCCTTGAATAACAGTTACTTGTGCCCTGGTCTTTTTTCCTCCACTGTACTGTGAACAGCTTGTGGAGGTTGGGTCTTCCTCATCTCCCTCTTCCCCAGGGCCGGCTGGAGCTGGTTGGTTTCCTAGGAATGCGAGTGGATGAGTTAAGCATTTCCAGTAGATACAGTCCAAGTAGATCAAAGAGATAAGGTGGCGGTGATGGAGGATGGGGGAGGGGGATCATAGACTAGAAGTCCAATAATCAACAGTCTGTGGGCACCACACTGTGGGCCTTCCACCATGGTAGGTGAAAATCCATTTCTGCATAGAAAGTGATCAGTTTTGTCTGAAAGTTTGAGCCGTGCTGAAGCCCAAGGCCTGGCTCCATTGTGGAATGTGCATGATTTCTCCAAGACACTGCAGCTCTGAAAGGCCTGATGCCCGCGGGTGACATGTGCTGCCTCCAGGATACGTGAAGGAAATTTATCAAAAATGTGATAGAAATTTGTTCTTGGTGGTGGAATTATAAGTGATTTCTTTTCTCATTTCTTTATACTTTTCTGAACTTTTATATTTTCTAAAAGGAGCATATCCTATGTTGACACTAAGAATACACATGAACTAGACCTTAAAAAACAAGTGAAAGTGGCAGCCACAGAGAAGACCTCTGAGTTAGGAAGAGAAGAGGCCAGACCTCTGAGCTCCAGCCCCAGCTTGGCTGCTTCAAACCAGTGGCATGTTCCAGAACACGTTTTCCTCTCAATAAGTGGTTCTGTGTTCCCGGGGGAGCCTCCAGGGCCAGTTCGGGGAGTGAGGTGGGGGCCACGGGGGCAGGATTCAGGCCACCAGCCTCCGGTCAGGGAAGCTCCATTTGACGTATTTTATATATTGGGCTTTTGTTTAAGACTTTATTTGAAAAAAAGGAATGAAAAGAGATTCACTGATAGAAAATAATAATCACAAATATTTGAAGGCCACTGCTTTAACCCAGAAGACAGGACAGGGACTTGTGAAAGCTAAATAGCAATAAGGTGTTGGAACGCCTTTTCGGGGCAGACGTCTGGCTGTGAGTCATTGTCACAGATATTAAGAGTCTGGTGGAGTTGACAAGAGGTCACGTCTGACTGGGTGTGCAGAATTTGGCTCTGCAGAGGGGTGGATGGGCGTTCCTGCAGGGGGCGCCATGAGCAGCAGTGCAGAGAGGCTGAGGGGAGGCTCAGCCCTGGTGCTGTGCTCAGGAGTGGGAGGGGAGGTGCTGAGGTTGGCTGGGATGGGTTTGGGTGTCAGGCTGGGACGTTTGCATCCTACCCCAGAGGCAGCAGGGAGCCAGAGAAGGGGTGGGAGTCATAGAAGGTGAATGGTGGGTGGAGGCAGGCTGCAGGATGGCCCGGAGGACCCATGTGCAGGATGGCCCGGAGGACCCATGGGGTGAGCAGAGGCAGCAGGACCAGGTTTCAATAGAGCACATCGGAGGAAACCGAAGTCCAGAGAGGCGTAGGGCCTCCAGGCCTCCTGACGCACAGTGCTGTCGTCTTTCCACCAGACCACAATTTCTAGATGACTTAGAATTAGGAAAATATCATGGCTAATTGTGACTTGCACCACCAGGGGGATGGCACTCTCTATTTTTCTACTCTTTGAAAAAATATTCTTTCATTTGGTTAAAGCATTTTAATCTTAACAAACAACAAAATCCCCTCCAATGATTCCTTCCAGGGCCCTAGAGGACCAAAAGGTGACACTGGCCTGCCTGGATTTCCAGGACTAAAAGGAGAACAGGTAAGCAGGGCCCAGGTATTTGGTGGGATGGTGCTCCAGAATTTGCTAAATGTTTCAAATTGACTGAAAGTAGCTGTTCCCTTTTTTAAAAAATTTGAGATATAATTCACATACCATAAAATCAACCCGTTTAAATTGTGGAATTCAGTGATTTTTAGTACATTCACAAGGTTATGCAACCATCATCACTGCCAAGTTCTAGAACATTTTCTTCATGCCCTAAAGAAACTCCCTAGTAGCAGTTGCTCCCCAGCTGTTAACTTTTATAATCTCAAGCTTCCTCCAGGGTGAAGGTGGGTTGTAGGTGGAGAAATTGATTTTCATCATAGTTTGGAAAAAAACTCAACCCAACACTCCCTTGAATGGTCTTATCATGTGTGCTACGCTCTGTCTACTGCCTGTCGGGCCCCCCAGTGAGAGTGTGTGTGAGGGTGTGCGCTCCCTGGGGGTGGGCTGCACCCTTGTTTCTTTTCTGTTCCTCCAGTACTTAGCACTGGACCTGGTACATAAGTGGCACTGAAGACATTTGTGAGATTAAAGAATGTATAATTAATGAATCTAATGAATACTAATATTTAGAAATTGTAAGTTGGGGCCTCTGCAGTTGGATGGCCCAAAATCTTTGGAGTCAATATTTAGCATGCAGAGCACTTCCTAAGAACTCAGGACACTGAGCTGACCTTTGTCCCCTTCTACATTTGCCTCCTAGAATTAACTTCCCAGAGGTTTTTATGGATAAAGGGGAGAGCGACGTCCATAAACAGATTGCAGAGACTCTGGATTGCATTCCTTTATTCATCTGTCCACTTATGTACTCATCCATCTTATACCCAGTCCCTAAGATGTGCCAGCCCGTCTCCTGTACTAGGCACTAGGGATGTAGAAATAAGATATGAGGAACAGACATGCAAAGAGCCACCAGAGAGCATGGTCACTGCAGTAATGGAGGACTGTGCAAAGCCAATGGGAGCAACTCCTGTGCCCGCCTTGGGGCGTCGAGGACGGTGGATGTGTCTCCAAGAGGAGGGAGTGTTAGGCTGCTCTCTTTCCTCCCTCTCCCCACCATTCCACACTGGCCCCCACAATTCCAGAGGGTGGGGGAGCACAATTCCAGGGGGTGGGGGTTCAGTGTGCTGGGCGAAGGGGTCTAAGTTTGGCACCACATGAGCCGATGTCTTGGGATGCTTTTTGCCGCTGCGGGCCTATGGCAAGCAGCATCTCTGGTTTGGGAAGAGGCCTGGTCAAGCAAGAGCGGCTCTTGCTTTAAACACTCTGTTCCTATGTGGCGAGGTCAGATGGATCTAGAGGGACCTACGTGCCATCCCCGCCCCTCATCCCTTGCCACACTGAAAACTGGGGTGGGTGCCCCGGCGGCTCTGCTCTGGCCCTCGCGGTGCACGCGCTCTCTCGCTCTGCCTCTAATGCCTTTGTGCTTGCTTCTTCTTGCGGCTGGCGTGCTCAGGACTGCCTTTCCTCACCGGCGGAGTGGTAAGATCCACATGTCAGGGTGGACTGAGGGGGACTAAGAGGAGAGGCTGCTCTGCTTGCTTTGGCACCAGTGCCCTGGCTGCTTCTGGCCCTGTTGAAGGGAGACTTGAGTGTGGTCCAGCCCAGCACCCCAGGGGCCAGCCCTGAAGTTTGGGGCCAAACCTCTGAGTGATACAGAAGGTTCCTCTGCCTGGCCTTTCCTCTGGACACGTGTCTTTAGGGAAGCCTCCTGGGATAGTAGATGGCTCTGCTGAGGCCAGGATTCAGGCTGGATCCTGTGTCCCTGCCACCAGCCTATCCATCTCTTTATTTCCCAACTGACATAACTCTACCTGATGAAGTAGGTGTTTGCGCAGGAGTCTGGAGTTTGGAGGCAAAGTTCCACATGGAGACACGGCCCCTGTGTAGAAAGAGGCCCCTAGTGTTGATATTCTCATCTCTTTCCCGATTTCAGATGTTTTAACGAGAATAAGGCTTCTTGGTGGGAACAGATCTCAAGTCGAGTTGTTAGGAAGGCAAGTCACCGAATGTATTAGGAGCCAGAGGTTCCCTGAGGGTGCCATGCAGCAGGAGGTGGGGAGGACCTTGTTGGGGCTGGTTCCTGGAGGGTTGAGAGTGAAGACGTTGATCTGCCAGCAGTGGGAGCCCTGAGGGGCTTGCAGGACCCCCGACCTATACTTTCGGACAGTGATTTGATGGTGCACGGAGGGAACAGCCCAGAGGGTATCTTAGGAGGCTGCTGCGGTACTCTAGTGAGAGGTCGTGTCGGAGCGGTGGGTGGAGGGCGGATGAAGGTGTGAGAAATCCTGGCGGCAGGACTGAGAGGCCTCAGTGAGCCTCTGGATGAGGGTGAGGAGGAGGCCCAACTTCACCGAAAGGTTCTCTGAATTGCAGGGCGAGAAGGGAGAGCCGGGCACCATCCTGACTGGGGACGTTCCTCTGGAAAGCCTGAGGGGGAAGAAGGTAATTATGTCACCAGACCCTGAAGGCACATGTCTGCTTCGGGGTCACAGCTTTGTCTCTGCTGCAAACTGTGTTCCTCTGAGTGACGAGTCCGTATCTCCTGTTTTAGGGTGAACCTGGAGTGCATGGTGCCCCGGGACCAATGGTAAGCCTGAGCATCTCTCAGCTGGGTCTGGGCTGGGGTTTGAAGCATTTGTCATCCTTTGACTCAGTTAGACTGAGTTGTCTCGGTTGTGAAAACAAAAGGGAGGTGGCAAAATGTGAGTGTGTTAGGGTGGGCTAAATGCGGTTAAATAAGAATCTCGGTGGTTTAACCAGTAACAGCTGAGTTCTCACTCTCGCGAAGTCCGCTGTGGTTGTTCCTAGTTGGGCGTCTCCCCTCCAAGCAGTGACTCAGGGACCCAGGATGCTGGTGTGCCCTGACTCTGCCATCTGGTGGATTCAAGGCCACACTGGCATCTTCCAGCAGGCAGGCCAAGGTTGGGGAGGGGGAAGAGACCATGGAAGATGATGAACATCACGTCTAGCACATTCCACTGGCCAGAACTCAGATGTCTGGGGGGCCTCAGAAATGTGGCTAAGCCATGTGTCCAGGAAGGAGAGGAGAACTGGCTGGTGGTGAGCGCTCACAGTAACACCGTGGGTCTTACCAGCTGCAGATTGCTGCTGCCCAGGGAACCCCTCAAAGGAACCCCAGGGAGTCTCTCTGGGGTTTTCGGATTCTGGTCCTGGATCTGCTGCTCAGTGGCTGAGACCCTGAGCAAGTCCTCTTCTCTCTCTGGGCTCTGTTTTCCCATCTGTACATGAGGGTATTGAATTAGTGCTCGATGATATGATAGGGCCTTCCTGCCTTTCTGCTCTATCTGTGACCCGTTTGGGCTGCTGAACAGTTTTTAAGCCAATTCTCTCCATGATGAACCCTAAACTTCCCTTTCCTTCCCAAAGAACAAAGAGAATTCAGGTGGAACATCCACTATGGGTCAGACACTGTACTGATACTTCACACAGACCATCTCATTTCATCCTCTCCACACTAAGAGGTGAATATCAGAACTCCCATTTTATAGACGAGCAAACTAAGATCAAAGAGGTTAAGTAACTCGCCCACTGTTACACAGCTTGTAAGTGGCACAGGGGGATTTGAACCCAGCCTGTCAGGTTTTTCCCACCGTGCCCCACTGGCTCCAATAAACACCTCCATTCTTCTGAAATGTTTTGGGCTGGAGAATTACACATGGAGTTGGTGTGGTTGAAGCTGGATTTCAAGCCTGGGAGAAAGGACCTCCCATTTCTCTAAAAGACACACATTCTTGATGAATGGACCATAACCTCCAAGGTGCATCCTTCAAAGGACCTTCTGAGGCCTTTGGTCCCTTAAGTCAGGCAGAATGGAATCCCTGGAGAGGGGTAGCTGAGGGCTAAGGCAGAGTGAGCGAGTCTTGTATTAACACTGGTTAACCACTTACTAACATCCAATACCATGGGAAATACCAATAGTTCGCAGTGGCCAGCAGGCTGCTGCAGATGGCCATGGTGGATGTTCCCACTGAAGCTTACCTTTGCACAGCTTGCCAAGCACAGACAGTAAGGGGGCACCTTCTTCCAATTTGCATGAAGGTGCCATAGGGCTAGCTGTGGCCCTTGTGACTAGTGTAACTAATGTAACTAATACAACTCCTTTACAAGTTCAACGGAGCCTTGTTACTCATGGCCCGTGGATCAGCATCATCAGCATCACCTGGGAGCTTGTTATAACTGCAGAGCCTTAGGCCCCACCCGGGACCTACTGGATCTGCATCTTGACAAGATCCCAGGTGCCGCCTTTGCACGTTGATGTTTGAGAAGCTCTGCAGTAGAACATACCACCAAGTGGCCTGTGCCCTGTTAACTCCTACTGTTCTTGCTTGTCTTTCCCTCAGAGTAATGTGGGCTGGGTAATTTACATCCAGAGCCTATTTCAACTCAGTCTTTATTTGCCATTTTCCAGGCATGGCTGTATATGTCAATGGCAGCAGGAAGAAGAGACTTGGAGGGCTCCAGGCTTAAACCATCAGCCCCTAGGAGACAGGGCAGACCCAGCCACAGGAGTGGGAAGGTGTAGACTGAGGGTGGAGCTTGTTCTGGGAGGAGCTAGTGCATTGTATGCATCCCGGGTACCGGAAGGCGCGAGGGTTCCTGCAGAAGGTTGGAACAGGGCAGTGGCTCTGGAAGCATATGGACGTGGAGAGCCAGCACTGGAATGAATAGGGTCCAGTGGTCAGGTCAGTCATCTGGAGGACTGGGGTGCCAGACCACGACCCTGGTCCTTACGGACCCAGAACCAAGTCCTGGAGCAGGTTAGCAGGCCGGGCTGACACAAGGGCAGAGTCAGGGCTGCATTATTCCAGTGGGGGACACGGAGAGCCCTGGGACAGAAGACGTAGGGCAAAGGCCCACGTTCTGAGCTGGTCCAGCCCCCAGCTACCTGGGAGCTGAGGCCCTGAGCGACTGCTCTCTGGCTCCTACATTAGCCCTGAGTGGCTGGGAGAGGTGGGGTCCAGAGTCTGGGATAGGGTGCAGCCTGCAGGAGGTGTGGGGTGGTGAGGGGTTGAGCAGGGTTCCAGCTGAGAGCAGAGAGGCCGGGAGACAAGGAGCCAGGCAGGTGGATACTTCGTAATCGCTCTTAGCCCTCCTTCCTCCTGTCAGTGGTTCATCGTGGTCACTGCCCACGAAGGCGTGCTGGGCCCCATCTTGCTGGCCCTTGAGTTTCTGTTCTTTTCTAATGTGGTATTTGTTTTGCCTCCAGGGGCCCAAAGGACCGCCAGGACACAAAGGAGAATTTGGCCTCCCCGGACGACCTGTAGGTGTCAGCGTTCCTCAGGCTGGATGAGAGGGAAGGACACGGGCCAGGCTGGCGGGTGGGCAGTGGGTTTACTTAGGTGTCTCTTCTGGGTTTCAGGGTCGCCCAGGACTGAATGGCCTCAAGGGCGCCAAAGGAGATCGAGGGGTCATGATGCCGGTGAGTGCCACGACCTCTGCCCCAACCCCACGCCACCCGGGGGACAGAGCCCCGAGGCCAGTGTCCAGAGGACGGTGAGAGAGTGCCGGGTCCAGTGAGCGGGGCTGGTGGACGGAACGTTCAGGAATGTTTTTCGTTTTCCTCTGCTGCCACGTCCAAAGATCCTCCAGCCCAGCCCTGTCCTCCGGCTCGCTCTCAGGAGGCTCCCTGCCACCGAAAGCACCTTGGTGGAGCATAAGCTTCCTCATCCGGACCCCAGGGCGAGAGCGGGGGGAAGCGACCTGGGCGTGTTCAGGAAATCCGGTTTCAAGTCCCGGGTCTTCTGACTTCAGTAATAGCCCGTCTTCCCTCCATCACACCGTCCCAGGGATTTTGCATGTCACTGGGGGCTCGGCAAACGTGTGTGAGTGCATATCAAAGCTAGACCAGCTACTTAGGGACGGCCTCCCAAGATGGCAGACACTGGGGCATCAGCAGGGTCCAGGGTCTTGAATAAGGAAGCCAACATTTACTGAGCACCTACTATGTACCAGAGACTCTACGAAGTGCTTTGAAGGACGGTATCTCCGTCTTGATAATACCTATCCTGAGTGACGCTCTGTGGGGCCCTTGTTTACACCAGAGGTAACTGGGGCCCATAGAAGTTAAGTGACCACCGAAGGTCAACCAGTTAACAGGTACCACGCTAAGATGCAAATGTAGCTCTAAGTCTGTTGCTGCCTCTGTTTGCCCCACTCTATCTCGACTTCGTATGTCCAGAAATGCAGAAAGGCAATTTTCTTGAGGCAGTGGGGTGCTGACCACACTCAGGACACCCGCTGGAGCCACTCGGTAGAGCAGACGCTGACGCTTTCTCTTAGGATGGTTAGTGCAGCTTCCGTATGGGCTGGATTCCTCACGCCCGTAGTCAGAGCCTCACCCTCCGGCTGCAAGGTCCCGCTAGGGCTCTGGGCTTGGGGGAGAAAACGTTGCATGGTATTAAGGCCAGGCTGACCTGGCTTTGGAAAGGACTCTGCTATCTAGCAAGAGTTTTGCATTTATTTTTGCATTTATTAAGCACCCTCCCAGGTACCAAATCACGTGAAGGACCCCCCACCCCCACCCCACTGCCCTTCCATTCTATGGGTGCCCTGATGGAGAGGTGGTGGGCTCCGTATCGGCTGAGCACTGCTCTGGGAGTCAGAGTCTGGGTTCTGATCTCAGTTCTGCCGTAGGTTGCTGTTGAGCAGATCCCTTCCCCTCTCTGGGCCTCATTATCTCCGTCTGTAAACCAGGGGTAGTACTTGTTGCTCTGCTGCCTCCCGCATGGGTTGCTGTGAGGATGCAGCACGGTCACGGGTGTAGCCGTGCTCTGTGGAAGGGACTGGCCACCCATGGGAGAAGTTACTTGGCTGTAACGGACCCTCATTGTGTCCCCAAACCCGAGGGGAAGTGTCCTCCAGCTGCTCTGTGCTCACAACAGCGGACACTCAGGAATGGCCTTCCTTTCTCCCTTCAGGGCCCACCTGGCTTACCTGGTCCTCCTGGCCCCCCTGGTCCCCCTGGAGCTGTGATTAACATCAAAGGAGTAAGTTGGGGTGTTGCAGGGGGCCTCCGTGGGGGAGCGGGGAATGGGCCCCAGGCTGGCCTAAGCTGGAATCAGGTCTCCTGATGGCCTCTTGTCTCTTGTCACTTCCCACAGGCCATCTTCCCAGTACCAGTCCGGCCGCACTGCAAAACGCCAGTAAGTAGCATGTAGTCACCGCCTTGAAGAGCAGGCTTTGGCACAGAAGGCAACTCAGAGAAGACGATCAGTCTTTGTCTTGAGGCCCTTCTGTCCATCAGTGTCCTCTTTGATATCTTCTATCACCTACGTATAGACCCTTCAGTGACTAGAAGCTTCTAGATAATGGACTGTGGCAATGAAATATACTGGATCTTCTAAGGGTGCACCCACTGACAGTGTTTCTTTTAACACAATCAAAAAAGCAGTGTCTTCTGTTATTGAAACCACATTAGCTTCATGCTTGGAGCAGTCTAATAAGGGGGGACATAGAACCCTTAAAAATATAGATGGGGGGCCGGCCTGGTGGTGCAAGCGGTTAAGTGTGCATACTCCATTGCAGCTGCCCGGGGTTCGCCGTTTCGGATCCTGGGCGTGCACCGATGCACTGCTTGTCAAGCCATGCTGTGGCGGCGTCCCATATAAAGTGGAGGAAGATGGGCATGGATGTTAGCCCAGGGCCAGTCTTCCTCAGCTAAAAAAAAAAAAAAAAAAAAGAGGAGGATTGGCAGATGTTAGGGCCGATCTTCCTCACACACACAAAATATATATATATGGATGAGGGAAAAAAAGCAACTCCAACCAGTGCTCCTGCACTGGTTGCACTTTGGGATAAAATCCAAACCTGACTTACGCTGTCCTTTCCCAGTTGTCATATTACTGACAGCACACAAGACTAGAGGCGGGGATCCTGTCTCCCTCCTTGTAATGAGGAAACAAACTGACTCAGCAAAGCTCACTTGTCCAAGGTCACGGGACTGACGGAGCTGGGACCATCACTCAGGTCCCCTGACCGCCAGGCAGCAGGTACAGGCACTGTGACTCCGAGGGGTCAGGCATGTGCCCGGTGGCCCAGCTAGTCAGTAGCACCGTCCCTGAGGTCTCACCTGTGTTAGGAGAGTCCTGTTTCTGTGGGAAATGCAGGGAGGGTGGCCTCTCCCTGTGCTTAGGCATTAGTCACGGAACTGTGCATAATCATTTCTCCCATTCATTCGACAAATATTTGTTGAGTACTTATGGAGTGCCAAGTACTCTGCTGGGCCCTGGGGACACAGGATGAACTAGACAGGCGTGGCCTCTGTTCTCAGGAGCTTGCAAATTACAGTTGAGAAAGATCCCTTGAAGTGGGTTCATAATTGATGCCTTTGGGGAAGGGGGTGATGAGGCTTCGGTCAGAGGCTTTAAAGTGACGCAGTTTGGCCTAGTATCTGCCTAGACATCTGTCGTGTCTGAACTTTGAGGCACCCTCAGCCCAGGGCCCGGGAACTCTGGCCTGGAGGGCAGAGGACAGGAGCCACGTGTCTAAGGTGACCAGAGGCCTGCTGGCTTCCAGGTCTACGTAAGGACAGCAGCAACCCAGGTCCTGTTGATGCCGATGGCCTGAAGGGAAACGTAAACTAGTGCGGGAGGGACCCTCCTGAGAGATGGCTGCATCCCACCCCTGCCTCCTTATCATATAGAAGGAGAGACTGCAGCCCCGAGAGGCAGAGGTGCGGGGCCCGTTCCAGCTCCCACCGTGAGTGAGTGCCTGAAGCCCCTCCCAGCTGACGTGACTTTAGGCTTCAAATGGACCAACCCTGGGACAGCACCTGACAAACTTGAGAGTGTCTTAAAAACGCTCCTGAGATTACCATGACCTGTGCTAGGAGCCTTTGCAGTAACCATGGCCTTTCGGGCTCATGAGTTTACTTAAAAGAAGCCAAAGATGAGCTCAGAGCATTTCATGTTGCCTGGCTGGACACCACGGGGGCAGGGGCGTGGACATTTCCTGGCCAGCTCTCAAAATGAACACTTGAAAAAGTAATGCTCCCTCTCCCATCTGGCGTTTCACAAGCCCCTTCTAATTTCAGCCCCTTTATAGCACCACAACAATTTACAGCTCACACCTGGAATGGGGGACCTTTATCAGCTTAGCTGCAGGAGACCAGCTTGGTGCTGCAGCCTTCATCCTTAACTTAGAAATGTTTTTCCTAGAAGATTCCCTTCCCCATCCCCTATCTTCTCTTGCTGACCCCTGAGCATCTTGTGACCCTCCACCCGAAAGCATAAGAAAATCTTGGCACCTGGAAAATCATTTTGATCCCACGTATCAACTGGGCAGAGGTGAAGATGGATTAGTGAAAGCAGAGTCACAGGTGGCTCTGTTTTAACAGATAAAGAAATGCAAGAATCTGGGAATGAACTGGGAAGGAATATTATCTTGAACAACTTGGACTCCAGACCCCTGGCACTTAATGGGGAGTCCAAAATAGCACCCCCAATCTAATGATAACCCCCCATTATTAATTACCACTACCATCAGCTCCTGTTCATTATGCTCATCTTTGCTTATACACAGTAGCAAAGCTATCAGCTGGCCCACCTCCATGGCTGGGTACATCACTGGCTCGGATGCTTGACTTCTCACATGAATCAGTCTTAATTGATAGGAAAGGAGGCAAGAACACTCATGGTTGGCCAAGCCAACACTGGCACGATTGGTTGTCCTAAAACTTTGGGCTTCCCCTTTGCGGAGTTGTTTGGCCAAGAGGTCTTGGTCTGTCCACCCCACCCAGTTACAGATGGGTCCCCCAGTTGAAGGCCTGGGATGCTTGAGGGTACATTGAGGGCTGCTGGGGAGCTCAGGGCCTTTTGGGGCTCCAGAGCCAAAGGAAAGCTTGACTCCATGACATTGCCCCTCCTGCCACATGCCCCCGGGACAGGAAACAGTGGCAACCTGCACACATGAACACTAGGACAGGGTTTGCAGTGTATGACCTTGCTTTTCTCCCTCTCCAGGTTGGTACCGCTCATCCTGGAACTTCAGAACTCATCACCTTTCATGGTACACACTCCCTTCTTCGTCTCATGTTTCTCTGAGACGTTTCCTGACCCTCATGACTCTGCAGAAGGTGGTTTCTATTTGCCCAGTGCTGGGCATACCGTAGACCAAGTGGTCAGGAAGATCTGACTCTGTGGTGGGAAGGGTGGTAGCTGAGCCAAGGCAGTGGGACTAGGCACCTCTGTAGATCTTTGAATTCCTGGTTCCCAAGAGGTGTGAGAAATCAACGACCAGTGCTCTTGATCCTAGAGATGAGGGCACACAGTGTAGACGAGGTTGAGGGGCTCAGGCTCAAGCCTCCCCTGACTTGATATTGGCCGAGCCTCCTAGATAGCACATCTTGGCTGAGCCTCATAGGTAGCAGGAAGAGCTCCATTTGTCCATTCGTTTGTTAGTTTCTTCAGAAAGCATCCACTGATTCCTTCTCCGTGCTTGGTGCTATCCCATGCTCTGGGCTGAGACAGATGACTCCTACTCTGTTTCTGCCACCCAGGCCCTTAGACTCTGTTATGTGGAACTATTTAAAAAATCATTATAATGCAATATACTGAGAGCTAATGCAGGGAGGGCCGTGGGAGCTCAGAAGACCTTTGCTTCAGTGTTCCTGGACCAGCAACATCAGCATCTGCTGGGAGCTTGTTAGAAATGCAGAGTCTCAGGCCCACCGCAGACCTGCTGAATCAGAAGCTGCATTTTCACAAGCTCCCAGCTGAAGTGTGTGCACATAAAGTGTGAGGAGCGCTGGTTCTGAGTGTTTGATTAGTAAGTTTGATCGGCACATTCTGTAGGAGCCTATCCACCACACGTCAGAGGGGGGATAGGCCGGGAGACAGGAGCCTGCAGGTGAGCAGTCACTCTGGTCCCCTGTCCCCATGTACCCTGCCATGCTATTTGTCCCCCTTTTGATTGAAAAGTCTGAACACTTGCAGTTTAAACAGGGGAAGGTCTTTTTTTTCCCATACCGACTTCTAGCTTGGCTCTGTCACCCGCAGCCCGCCAGGTGGTGGTCTCTATGCTGATATCTGGCCCTGTGGGTTTTTTTGTTGCTTTTGGTTACAAAGTCCAGGCTGTTCTCACATTGCATGCTCAGATCCAATTCAAGGCTCTCCCTTCCCCTGGTGCAAGGTGGACCTTGGGGAGAGGGGGTGGTGCTGGATTTGCTTTCTCGGATCCCCAGTGGTTCCTTCACCGTGGGCCCCTCAGGGGGAAAAGGGAGGGAACAGATTTTTCTGGATGAGACAGCCCCATGAGCCCTTTGTCCTCGCACTTACTTGTGGGTTGTTACTCCTTCTCCTTTGGGTGAGCAGCCACGTAAGCTCAGTGTCTTCTTCTCTGGGCATTGTCTGTAGTCTCCTTGTGGGTGGGTGGAGGCCCCGTGGCCCCGCTGTCCAGGTCCTGGCTCCAGCAGCTCCCCAGCAATGGTGAGGCCTTACTGGGTGCGATTGCATCTCCCAGCTGACCCCCAGCTGGCAGCATCATGCCTCTAATACTCCCATTCCTTCCCTCACGTTGGGGAAGCCTGAACCCCCCTACCTTGTCTACACCGTGTACCCCCACCTCCAGGCTTGAGAGCACTGGTTGGTTGATCTCTCACACCTCTTGGGAACTGGAATTCAAAGATCTAGTGTCCACCCCACCCATCAAGGTGGGGAAAGGGGATCGCTTCCCTTCCCAAATGCTGAACTCCCAGAAGGCTTCCTTCCTCCAGCCTCATTTCCCGTGTAAAGAGTTAGGAGAAAAGGGGTGGCGGTAAGGCCATTTCTGCAGAAACAGTGCTTCTCCCAAGTCCTGTGGGGAGAGGGAGGTGCCGGACAATTGGCATTCTTCCAACTTTCTAAGTGAATCCTTAGCACCCTTAGTTCTCCTCGCGGGCACTCCTGGGACATTCCTTTCCTCCCCTTACACTGTGCTGCACAGGCATAGATGAGATGGGACTAGAAGCTTGACTTGGTGTTGAGCCTCAGGCGACGCGCGTGAAGCCAGCCAAGAGAGAGTTAACTGCAGCCTCTGCTGGGCGCCCCCCACGCACTGCTGGTATCCTAAGGGTAGCGCTTATTCCATCTGGCCTCTTACTGCCCTTCGCTGTCTGTCTCCCCACTGAGACTGAGCTTTTCAAGGTCAGGAATTGTCTGCGGCACCTGCCTCTGCCCCCTCCACCATTTAGCAAAGGGTCTTATACCCTACGACTTCTCAATAGGCCTTTGTTTGTTGAGTGGACTTTGCTAAAGGGGTTCAGTTTGAAAACTTGTCTCAGAAATGTTTTATATAGAATGAAGGTGATTTTTCACTGTCTTTTTTTAAATGTGTGTTTGATGGCAGGTGTTAAAGGAGAGAAAGGATCCTGGGGTCTTCCTGGCTCAAAAGGAGAAAAAGGCGACCAGGGGGCCCAGGGACCACCAGGTATTCCAACTCTCGTCCTGGATCTTGCCTTTGATTTTTGTTCATGAGAAATCCAATTGAGCAAGAAAGTAAGACTAATTACATTACCCCCTTGACTGCAAGCTCCGTGGAGTTCCAGAGAGACCCAGTCATGGGTGCTACATGTCCAAGATGGAACCTTGTCAAGAGAGACCCGCAGTTCTAATTGGTCTTGCCTCACATACAAAATGAGGCCCGAAGAAGGCCAGGGACACGCCCGGGGTCCCACAGCATCTGGGTTGTGGGGCCTGGGCCAGGACTGGTTTCTGCCTCCAAGCCCAGGGCCCATCTGTTAGCTAAACCAACGTGGGGTCACTTCCACTACAAAATAATCATGGTGGCCAACTTGGTTGCCGACTTTTATTTTTAAATTTCTGAGATTCTGATTGTGAATTTTACAAAGTGTTTCTTTTTCAGGCCCTCCAGTGGATCCAGCCTACCTGAGACATTTTCTGAACACCTTGAAGGTGAGTATTTCTCTACTAAACTTCTGGCCTGTGTTTCCAAGTTCTTGGGCTGATGTCAGAGACTGATTCATCCTGCTTCACTGAATGTTCTCTGCTTTCAGGGGGAGAATGGAGACTGGGGGATCAAAGGAGAAAAAGGAGACTCTAACAGTGACTTCTCTGTGTCAGGACCTCCAGGCCTGCCGGGAAATCCAGGCCTGGTTGTGAGTAGTGACCCCTCCACATCGTCTTCCTCCATGAGTCACAGCTTTCTCTGATGCCCCGAAACGTGCCTAGGCAGATGGAGAGCAAGGGTCTGTCACAGCACCACAAGCTGGAGGCAGGACTTGGGCTTCTGTCTCCCTCCCCGATACTTGGGGATACTGATGGGGAGCTTGGGTGAGGCCCACAGAGGAAAGGGAGCTGGCCAAAGCTATATGCATTCAGGTAACTTCCAGGTCACTAACCACACTGCCTTATTCATGTCAGTCGTGGAAAATTTGCTCAACACAAAGAGTTATTGATGGTGAGCACATCGGATCATGGAGACAGAATGGAAGGTGAGGGAGATATTTTTAGAGGGACTATTTGATTCTTCTGAAATGTCATCAGAGAAGGAGTCTCTAGGTAGGCTTGGTGTTCTTAGAATGAGAAGTTTCTCCAGGTCACAAAAGAGAAATTCAAGTTATGCCTCCAATAATGTTATGATGAGATCTTTGACCCTCAGGGACCACAAGCAAACTCCAGTCGCAGAGCTCACCATGAGGGTAGACCCAGCAAAGCCTGGAGACCAGGGTTCCATGTCCAGCTCTGCTGCTAACCTGCACTGAGGCCTTGGGCAAGCCCTTTCCCTCTCTGGGCCTCAGCTTCTTCTTCTGTGAAATGCAAAGCCTAAACTAGCCGATCTCCAGGGCACTTCTGAGTCCAGGGCTCTCTGGGGTTCTCTGGAGAGTCAGTCAACATAATGACTGGGCTGCTGCTCTCAGGTCTTACACCACCTGAGTTGTGCCCAGGACTGAGGATAATGATAACAATAGCTGGTGTTTACTGACTTCTTACAAATGTCCTCATAAAAGAATAGATGGGACTTCTAGTGATTAATGGTGCTTTCTCTCTTCTCTTACTGTGTACTTGCCTTGACAGGGCCAGAAAGGGGAGACTGTTGTTGGGCCCCAGGGACCCCCGGGTGCTCCTGGGCTGCCTGGGCCACCTGGCTTTGGAAGACCTGGTTCCCCTGGGCCACCAGGACCTCCGGGGCCACCAGGACCTCCAGCTATCCTGGGAGCAGGTTAGTACTGTGGGTGGTGCCCTCATTTATGCTGCCCCTTCTATTATGCTCAGGGTCACCACATCTGGGTGGCATGTCAGAGCCACACTGACAGAGGGCTGTTTCCTGGATGGAGCCTTTTTTCTTTTCTTTTTTAAAATTGAGATATAATTCGCATGCCATAAAATTGACCCATTGAAAGTGTACAATTCAGTGATTTTTAATATATTTACAAGATTTTACAGCCATCACCACTATCTAATTCCAGAACATTTTCATCCCTCCGAATAGAAACCCTGTTCCAATTAGCAGTCACTTCTCTTTTCCTCCTCTCCCCAGACTCTGGAAACCATGAATCTACTTTCTACCTCTATGGATTTGTCTGTTCTGGACATTTCATGTAAATGGAATCATACAATATGTGCCCTTTTATGTCTGGCTTCTGTCACTTAGCATGATGTTTTCAAGGTTCATCCATGTTGTAGTGTGTATCAGTACTTCATTCCTTTTTATGGTTGAGTAATATTCCATTGTGTGGCGATACATATATATATATACACACACACACACACTACATACGTACATACATACCACATTTTGTTTATTCATTTATCAGCTGGTGGACATTTGGGTTGTTTCCAGTTTTTGGCTATTATGAATAATGCTGCTATGAACATTCATGTATAAGTTTTTGTGTGGACATATGTTTTCAGTTCTCTTGGGTGTAGACCTAGGAGTGGAATTACTAGATCAAACATATAGTTATTCTATGTTTAACTTTTTGAGCAACCACCAGACTGTTTTCCAAAGTGGTTGCAACGTTTTGCATTCCCACTGGCAGTGTATGAAGTTTCCAGTTTCTCCTCATCTTCACCAACACTTGTTATTATTACATCTTTTTTATTCTAGCCCTCTTGTGCGTGTGAAGTGATACCTCATTGTGGTTTTGATTTGCATTACCATAATGACTAATGACGTTGAGCTTCTTTTCATGTGTGGGTGGAAATTTCTTGGCTGCTTTTTGATGCCTGGGCCTTAGGGACTTGAGGACCAGCACTGATTCTAACGCGCTAGGTAAAAATCTCTTTACTCTTTGGGGCCACAGTCTGTCAAATGAAAAATGGGTGAAATAGAAGAAAATCTCCATTTATTGAACATTTACCAAGTGCCAGGGACTCTGCTAGTCACTTCACTTCATTATTTTATTTTAGTAAATCACGCAAAGCTTTATTTCATGAAGCCCTTCAAGGAAAGTATTAGCATCCCCATTTTACAGATGAGGAAAGTGAGACCCAGAGACATTTAGGAACCTTTCCAAGGTCACACAGCTAATAAGTGGCACCAACAGGATTAGGACCCAGATCAGCGTAGCTCCAAAGCCTCTATTCTTTCCACTATGCCCATGGTGGGAAATCATAATAGCAGCAATAATAGCGTGAATGCATCATTTTCTGTTGTTTGGTTGGCATTTTCTGTTGTTTGGTTGTGTGGTGGAAGCATGCCTGGGAAGAGACCTACAATGTCTGGGGCATTGGGAAGAATTTTACACAGGAGGTGACTTTGGGGCTGGGGCTTTGACTTAGTCTTGGATCTTTTGGCTGCAAGTGACAGGAATGTCACTCAAACTAGTTCAAGCAAAAGGGAAATTTATTGGATGTGAAGGAGGGGGTGAACGATCAATTTGTGGGAGGGGCAGACATGCAGCGGGACCTCAGGTTCAGCCAGAACCAGGGATTCAGCCCTTGCGAGGATTCTCTGGCCATCTCTCATCTCAGCTTCTCTCTGTTTGCTAGCTTCATGCTTCTTCACTGCAGACCACATCCTCTGCATGGTGGGAAGTAAGGTTACCGACAACTCACAGCTTCCACTGTCAGCTAGAAATTCTGGCCTTCTTTCTCAGTGTTAGTTTGAAAAGTCCTGGGATGGGGCAAGTGCTGGGGAAGGATTCTGATTGGCCTGTCTTGAGCCAGATGCCCAACCTTGGACCAGTCACCTGTGGCCAGCAGTTAGGATCACATGAGAATGAGGCAGCTCCTTCTGGAACCAAATGGTTGTAGAGGTGAAGGGGAAGATTCCAAGAGAAGGTGAGGATTCTTGTCCTGCAAAGAAAGAAGGTGCTGAGTGGATTAAAACTGTAGGTGCCCACACAGCCTTGGGGGATGAGTAGGAATTGCAGGAGGTGGAGGGACATTACAGGGTGAGTACAGGACGCAGAGAATCTGTTGTCCGTAGTAGCCCAACACTGGGGCCCCAGGACTCCTTGCTCCTTTGAAAAGGATTGCCCCTCACATAATGTATGGCAATTCACGGTTACAAAACACTCTCATATCCATCATCCCATTTAACCTTCATAGCAGCCCTGGGAGGGAGATGAAATGGGTATTACTAAAAACTCATTTCACGGATAAAGATGCTGAAGCTGAGAGAGGCTAAGAGACTTGCTCAAGATCATAGTGCTAGTAGGAGACATGGCAGGGGTCCAAATCCAAGTCCTCTGACCCTGTATCCACTAGACATCCACCACTTATGTGTGGATTCTCAAGTCCTGTGTTGGAACCGCACACTTGCTCACAATGACCTGAAAAGCCTCATACAGTAATTTTACTGGGACTTGAAAAAACCCTTAACTCTGCCAAGAGCTTTGCAGATTTGGCGGGGACAGGGGATTGGGGAGGAAGAAGGAGAGCAAAGGACAGGTGTAATAATACTTCTTTATGTTGGCCTAAGGTAAGGGCCTTTCATTGGGGAACTGCGGTCTCCTAGAAAACTCAAGGACGTGCCTCAGGGATCTTTCCGTCATCCCACTAACACTTGATGTAGAGTTTTTTGTGCGTGTGTACACACACACATGCACACTGGGGAAGAGAGCAGTAGCCTTGATCTGCTTTTTAAGTTAAGCTCTTTAAGCTATGACTCTTCAAAAGCTAAGAACCCCTGGTTGAATGCCGTACAATTTGCAAAGCACCTTCCTAGTTGGTATTTTACTCACTTCTCAGCACAGCCCCGTGAAGAAGAAATGCCTGCTTGCATTTCACAGGTGAGGAAACCGGGGTTCAGAGCGCTTGCAGTTTCCCCAAGATCACACAGCTGGAAACTGACAGGCTGGGGACTTGAGTCCGTGTCTCCTGGCCCCAAGGCCAGGGCTCCTGTCACTGCACCACCTTGTCCTCCTGCGGCCTGGCACTTGTACTTTCTGCGGCTCTCTCGGAGCCTGCTGCTTCTCGTTAGTAGGTGGTTACCTCCCTTCAGCCTGTCTCTTGAGTGAAGTCAGTCGTATGAGTCAGGGTATTTTTGGATGCAGTTGACAGAAAACTCAAACTGACTTATGCAAACAACAGAAGCAACAAGAATTTATTCACTTATAAAACTGAAAAGTCCTAGGCATGGCTTGATCCAAAGCCCCAAGCAAGAATCCCAGCTCTTCCCCAAACCAGTCCGTGTGGCTGAGTCACGCGGGGCCCAGAACTCCCAGGATGAAATTGCAGGGCAGGACGCTTTGCAGCCTGTGAATGAGGGTGTGCACGCACCCCCTCAGGTGACCCACTCACATCTGAGGCATTTGTCGGAGAGCGTGGTTTTTTGTAACTTCCCTTTTCTGCTTTGTCTTAGCCGTGGCCCTTCCAGGCCCACCTGGCCCTCCAGGACAGCCAGGGCTTCCCGGATCCAGAAACCTGGTCAGTGTTATTATCAATATGTATTCATCCTTCTACCTTGGATGGGTTTACTTAGAACTTCGGCTGCAGTGTGTAGGGGCTGGCACACCTTTTATGTTGGAATCAGATCTCCATGACAATAGAATTGGTGCAGTTCCTTTAACAGAAGGTACTTATCATCTTTTGGGATGACTTATTAAGTAAAAAGATACAGAATACAAAATCATTTATGATTTAAGTTCTACCCTTCTAATCCTTAATTGACTAAACTGTAACAAGAACCAGTCATATTACATCAAAAAAACATAAGCACAAGAGGGTGAACAATATCACAGCAGGTCCCGTGCTGGTCCGATTTACTCTGGGTAATTCAGCCTTCTCCATTCTGCCAAAGGATGTCTCTTGTACGTTCATTACCCTGCAGATCTTTGGAGCAGGGTATAGCACGCAGAGGTTATTAGGACGCACAGAAAGAGGACAAATGCCTCACAAAGAGGTCAGGAGTCCTAGGAATGCTCCTTGCTCTTGGCTGGATTTTAGTCGGAAAATCTGGCTGCCAAATGAAGAAGCATCCAGTCGTTGATGGAATTTTGATGTCTGGTGCCTTTATGGGATTTCTAAGCCATTTTGATGCACAAAATCATTATCTTCAAGGCTAGATGAAAATTAATTTTTTATAATCTTTCTCAGTTGAAATGAAAAATAAAAGTTCTTTTGGCTGCTATTTCTTTGAGACTTGATGCTTTTCAATAGATTTTTGCAGCTTTTATGTGTGCTCCTGGATAGGCCACGACGTCTGTCTAATCTTTGGCAGTTTTCTAGACAGAAAAATTACAGACCCTCATTTTCTGTTTATTTAATATTGGAACCACCTAGCCTGGCAAAGAAGATTCAAGACCTATGTAGAATTGCTCACTTGCTTGCATTTCTTATTCCAAATGAAAACAAGTTTGAAACTCTTTAAGGAGCAGCACGAGATAACCCATTTAACAATGTCAGTGCCACCGAGCTGCTCGCAAAAATGGAAGTGACACAACTTATTGATGATTTTGCCAGATCCAACATCCAACAAAGAATACCCTGTTTACAGTTTTTAAACGTCTTTGAACTCACGGAATATTATCTTCTTTGTTTTAATTCATTTGTTATAATTTAGATTTGTGTTTCAAGGCCATTCATGTTTTTGTTTTATCAAAGAGAATGTCCTTTGCTTACTAATGAAGTTAGATATCTCTATACGCACAATAAGCCTTTTCATCGACTATGGTGGGATGGCTCATATTTGACTTTACAAAGAGGCCAGCTTTTCAAATTGTGCCACTGCTCTAAGGATAACTGGGGGATTTAAAACTATCTGACAGGTCACAGCATTTAGCAACATGGATGACATGCTGCAGAACGCGCATTTGGTTATAGAAGGGACCTTCATCTACCTGAGGGACAGCACCGAGTTTTTCATTCGTGTCAGAGATGGTTGGAAAAAATTACAGGTAATTCTTACACTTCCTTTAACAAACTGCCTCCAGATGCCCTCTAAAAATAATAATCTACTCCTATAAATGCCATTTTTCTGTTTTGAAACTAAGCAAACAGCTTCTAGTTGATGTTTCATTTTCAATGTACTGTTTTCCTTAAAGCTGGGAGACCTGATCCCCATTCCTGCCGACAGCCCTCCGCCCCCTGCGCTTTCCAGCAACGTGAGTGCTTTCCCTGCCTTACTTCTCGCTCCTGCGTCAGCGTGTGCTGAGTCCCCCTTGGTGTCCAGCGCCTAGCTCTCCACACCCTGGACAGCCAGCTCTGCAGGGTTTAGTATCTGGTGGAAGCCCAGAGATTACCAAGTGCCAACAGAATGTTCTCACAGCAGAGGGGAGGGAGAACTGGACCCAGAGGCTGGAGACCTGCTGTTCCCACGTCATAGCTGAATCCTCTCGGGCAACGGGCTTCCTCTTTCTTGGCCTCAGTTTATTCATCTGTGAAATCATTGGTCGGCATAAGCCATCTAGAAGAACCCTTTAATTTTTGATACTCTGAGACTTCTTTGCCTGATAAGAACACTGGCAACTTACGTTGTCCGTTTTTTAATTCTATATCAACCCTTTGAGGCAGATACTGTCACCCCCGTTTTGCAGATGAGGAAATTGAAGCTCTGGAGAGGTGACTTGCTCTATTAAGTGAATGAGTTAGCAGTAAAACAAGAGTCTTCTGCTTCTTTGGTTCAGTGCTCTTTCTAAGAGACTCGAGAATATCCCCTCCCTTTCTGAGGATCACGTTTTCATTCCAGCATGAATCTTGTCACAGTTAAGAGTGGCCCAAAGACAATGACAAACTATTTAAAGTAGCTTCTCAAGAGACATTGCGCTTGCGCCTTGCGTGCCCTGAAGAACAGATCGAATGCATGTTCTGAACCGTTTATTTTCCTCTTTTATGTAACAGCCGCATCAGCCTCAGGCTCCACTGACGTCTCTTTCCAGTGTCAGTTATGAGAGGCCTGCAGTAAGTACAGTTCATGCGTTTACTCTGCAAATGCTGAATGTGTGTCCACAGTGTGCCGGGCCCTGTGCTTGTTACACAGTTTCTACCCTCTGGATGCGTGCAGACTAGCAAGAGAGGCAGACAGAAAGTAGACAGTTCCAAGACAGTGTGCTAGGTTGTTTGGGCGAGACAAAGAAAGGATGCTGAGGCCTTGAGGAAGGTCAAGGACATCTGCCTTCTTTAGAGGAGGTGACCTCTCAACTAAGACGTAAAGGACAATTGAGAGCAGGTGTGAGCCAGGAGGGGGAAGAGAGTGGGAATTCCAGGCAGAGGGAACGTGGAACAGAGGGAGGCAAGGGGAAGTGCTGTTCTTTTCTGTCATGTCAGGTGTTTTAGTCTGGCTGAAGCAGTAGTGTTTGGAGCAGAGAAGGGAGAAGTTTAGTTTGCAGAGGGCAAGGGCTGTCATCGAGGGCCTATAAGCCAAGCTAAGGACTTTGACCTTTTCCAGTGGGCAGTGGGGAGCAATGAAGGGTCTAAAGCAATAAAGGGGTATATCAGATTGGCATTTCAGAACTTACCTTGGTGACAGTACATACATGGATTGGAGGGGACAGGACCAGGGGCCCAAAGACCGGTTAGATGGCTCCTATACTATCTGACCTAGGATTACAGCAGTGAACATGTAGAAAAGTGGGCAGATTGGAGAGAAGTTAAGGAGGCAGGAGTGACAGATTTGGTCATTGATTGGATATGGGTCAGTGAGGATGAGGGAGATCAGGAGTGATGCCTAGGTTTTTGCTGGGGTAATTGAGTGGTCATAGTTTCCTTTCCAGGGGTCATTTTGTTGCTAGGATTAGAAACTCTCACTCTATTCTTTCACTAGCTTAAGTGAAGATCTTGTTCATATAATTGCAGGAACCTCATGGAACTCAATTGCAGGAAGTACAACAGGGCCTGGGGACCCTGTCCTCCCCTCCACCCCCACTCCATCACACGGACATAGGTTACATCTACAGAGCTCACACACAGCTTTGGGTGGCCATCCTGCTAAGACCTGCAGCTGGTCTTACAGCTGCAGAGCCCAATACCACCTGACTGAGTTCAGAGTCTTGGGAGAGAGAGTCTATATGGGTCATCTTGGGTCAGTTGCCTTCTCCCGGCCAAATCAAAAGTGGCCAAGAGAATGAGATTGAATGGCCTAAGGCCACTCTTTTTAGCAAGTGTCGTGGGGGCACTTTCAAAGAACAAGGAATGGCCTTGGCAGACACCAGAAACACATTTCCTATAGTGCTCCCGTTCACCAAGCAGGAACTCATTTGGGGCATCGTGAGTCTGAGGTACCTGTAGGATATCTGAGTGGAGACTAGCAGGAGGGAATGGGATATGAAGGTGTGAAACCTCGCAGTGGGTCTGGTCTGGGGATATAGACTCGGGAGTCTTCAGCAGAGCCCTGGCAATTGTGCTGGGGGTGGTAGGATTCCCAAAAGAGAATCTATACAGTGAGAAGAGATTGGACTGAGAGGAGCAAAAACAAAAAGGAACTGATGGAAGAGATAGGATAAGGAAACTGAGAAGCCAGAGCCAGAGAGGAAGAAAGAATGCCAAGCATGGTAGAAGCCAACAGGGTCAAATGCTGCCAAGAGGTCCATCAACAGAACTAAAAGGTGTCCTTCAAATTTAAAAGTAGAGAAAAGCATTCCTGTAGCATGGAGGGATGCCAACAAGATTCTAGTTGTTGAGGAGTAGATGGGAGGTGAGGAAAGAGAGAAGTGAGTGTAGATAACCCTTCAAAAAGCTTAGCTATGAAGGGGAGAAGTGAGGGCAGCAGCTAAAGGATTTTTAAAATAGTATTTATAAATTCTAAAGTAATACATATTCATTGTAGAAAATTTCAACAATGAATAAAAAGAATGGAGAAGAAAATAGTAAATCTCCTATAGTTTCACCAAAACTATAGCCATCCACAAAATAACCATTTTAACATTTGGTTGTTGAAACGTTATTGTCTTCATAAAAATGATACCTATTCATTATAAAAATGTTCTAGTAGTTAGAGAACTACAAACACGAGTGCACGAAAGCCCTTGATCCCACCATTCAGAAACAGCCATCATTTCAGACATTTCTCTGTGTGTCTCCTTAAAGAAGGAGAGGTGGAGATAGGTGGCATCAGAGGCAGGGCAGGGAAGCCCTGCTCATCCCACTACACCTTTCCCTCTGTCAGGGAAGCTGTGTCCCATCAAGGCCTCTTGTGACTGCCCTTGGGTATAGCCCCCAGAAGCACACTGGTTGGAGAGTGATGAGACCATGGGGCCTCTTCCCTTGAGTGCTGTGGTCTGCAGATATGACGGGGAGGAAAAGAGGGGTGGGGGCTGTATACCCAGATGGCAAGGGCATCAGAGGGCCGGGGTTGGATGTGAGGCTGGAAGTCTGGTGGTGATGAGTTAGGAGTGTGCTGAAGCCCCCTCCCCATCCTAAGGGCTGGGAATGTAGGAGCATATAGTGCTGCTACTGGGAGGGCTACAGGGGAAGCCTCGTCTCAGTGTGTGTGTGGGGGGGGTGGTGGGGGATGGTCCTGGACCTCCCTCCAGCATGGTGATAAAGGCAGAACCAGGGATGAGTAAAAAAGAAATTGGAGGAGGTAGCAGGCTTGGAGTCTGTCCTCTTCAGAATGGGAAAGAAAGGGGTAGTGAGATGGAGAACAGTGTCTGGAGGAGTGCAAGGACTTTGCAGTCTGGACATTGTAGTTCACGGCCAGCTGTGGGCAACCAGCTGGAAACATACAAAGGCTTTTTTGGACATGAGAGGCCACACGGAAATGGGGAGAGAAGCACGACCACCTCCTGCCCCAGCACATGGGGCTCATTTCACATCCTTTGGTTTAAGATAATTCAAAATATTTTTCTTGTCTGGAGACTTGGGCCCGGGTTCTGCACCAGCCCTCCCCAGCTCTGTGCTGATGAGGTAAAAGTTACTCCTGAGATGAGGCTGAGGAGGAGGATGACTGCTCCTTGATTATGAGATGTATTCCAGAGGGTGCAGCAGAAAGGGCTAGAAGAGAAGGCTGTAGGAGAAGGCTGGCTTTGGGAAGGGAAAGTGTGGGAGAAAAGAGCCTATGGAATGGCTTTTATTTGGGCTGCTGACCAAGGTAGCCGGGATGTGAGGCTAGAGTTACTGTAGGACCCCTAGTTTCCAAAAAAGTCTATCCCAGCAGTCTTAGTAATAAATGTCACGACCTTTTCCTTTCAATGCGTTTTCCCTCTGGCCCCTCACCATCAGCCCGGGCCCACTTGGGAGGTGGAAGAAAGGGCAACAGGTAGACAGTTTGGTGTGGCTCTGTGATCCAGGACCAAAGCCAGCCAAAACTCTACAGGAAACGGAACTAGGGGCAGACGCAGAGGTATCAACAAATGACCTGCCTGCAGGCTGGATTCAGATCTCTGAAGAGCTTTATTTGGTCCAAGCAGCGTTTTGTTTTGTTTTGTTTTTCTCGTATGTGGAAGAAATTTCCACCATTTAGAGGTGTTCAGAGAGCTGAAACAGGCTGCCTGGGGAGCCCTGAGCTCTCCTTCACTGAAGATGGGCAGGCAGGGACTGGACCTCCAGCGTCAGGTAGAGCTTGAATAGGGTAACATCTAACGTGCTTCCATCCCCAGAAGTCTGGGGTCTTATTGGGAACATGAGATGGTTATGGGGTTGGAGTTCGCTTTTAACTCCTTAACTGCTCTATCTTTTCTCTCCCTTACTTTTTTCAGCTGCACTTGGTTGCTCTGAACACGCCATTTTCTGGGGACATTCGAGCTGATTTTCAGTGCTTCCAACAGGCCAGGGCTGCAGGACTGTTGTCCACCTACCGAGCTTTCTTATCTTCCCATTTGCAAGATCTCTCCACAGTTGTGAGGAAAGCAGAGAGATACAGCCTTCCAATAGTGAACCTAAAGGTAACAATAAATATTGTTTCCATTGCTTGCTGGGTGCATCAGTCTCCACAGGGACTGTAGGCAGGTGCCACTTCCTGACATCATCAGAAGTGTGCTGGTTCAAGGCCTAGCCTGGCCCTGATTGGCTGTGTGACTTCAGGTGGGTCACTTTCCCTCTCTGGACCCCAGTTTCCTCATATTTACAGTGGCCTTTTCTGCTTGGATGGTCTATGACGCTTCGAGCAGACAGCACATTTAAGCTGCCAAAGGCCGGCAGACATTCTTCTGCCCTCATTCACTGGCACGGCAGAGCCTTGTAGGATCCCTCAGTTGTACCATGGAAATAGCTGATTCCTTTAAGGCTACAGAGGGACGGCTCTGTTGCCGCTCACACGCATCCTGGGTTCTGACCTCTAACTAGATCTCAAAGGTACTTTGAGACCCTTTGGTCTCTGTGAGCCCAAGATTCCAATTTGGAGCCTTGAGGGTAGCAAGCTCCATCCTGCCCCCACACCCAGCACCTTCCATCTCCTTTCCCAAAGTTCTATTCCACCACATTCACTCACTCAAATTATTTGTATTCTTAGAATACGAATAACTGAAAGAAACTGGGCTCTTTGAGGAAAAAGAGTAAGAGATTCATCTCCATATCGCCCACAATGTAGTCTTGCATAAAGTCTGGTGCAAATTTGAAGCTCAGTATATACTATAAAATTTTTTAAATAACAGTAATAAAATAAAGACCTAAGAGGAAAGGGATCGAATCGACTTAGTCTAAGGAACTAAGAGGTCATCAGATAATGGAATATCTCATCCACGAGATTTTTTATACAAACCTCAAGGTAACAACTAAACAAATAATCAGAACAGAATCATATATGATAAATAAAGAGAAAACTAAAAGAGTCATCATACAGAACTACCAAACTGAACTGGTATTCCGAAACACATGGGACGGGAAACAAAGGAAATGCAAAAGAACCGGAAAATAAACTATGAAATAGCAACATTAAGCCCTCATATATCAATAATCACTCTAAATGTAAATGGATTGAATTCTCCAATCAAAAGACACAGAGTGGTGGGACGGATTAAAAAGCAAGACCCAACAATATGCTGCCTCCAGGAAACACATCTCAGCTCTAAAGACAAACACAGGCTCAGAGTGAAAGGATGGAAGACAATACGCCAAGCTACTGGCAACGAAAGAAAGCAGGTGTTGCCATACTTATATCAGACAAAGTAGACTTCAAGATAAAACAGGTAATGAGAGAAAAAAGGGGCAATATATAATGATAAAAGGGACACTCCACCAAGAAGACATATCAATTATAAATATATATGCACCCAACATAGGAGCACCAAAGTACATAAAGCAACAAACCTAAAAGGAGATATTAACAACAACATAATAATAGTAGGGGATCTAAATACCCCACTTACAGCAATGGATAGATCATCCAGACAGAAAGTCAATAAGGAAATAGTGGACTTAAATGAAAAACTAGATGAGATCGACTTAATAGACATATACAGAGCACTCCATCCAAAAGTAGCTGACTACACATTCTTCTCAAGCATGCATGGAACATTCTCAAGGATAGACCATATGTTGGGAAACAAGGCAAGCTTCCATAAATTTAAGAAGATTGAAATCATAACAAGCATCTTTTCCGACCATAATGCTATGAAACTAGAAATCAACTACAAAAAAATAACTGGGAGAGTGACAAAGATGTGGAGAGTAAACAACATGCTACTGAACAACCAATGGATCATTGATGAAATTAAAGGAGAAATAAAAGCATATCGAGAGACAAATGAAAATGAAAATACGCCATACCAACTCATATGGGATGTAGCAAAAGCAGTCCTGAGAGGGAAACTCATAGCAATACAGGCCCACCTGAACAAACAAGAAAAAGCCCAAATAAGCAACTTTAAACTATGCCTAAGAGAACTAGAAAAAGAAGAACAAACAAAGCCCAAAGTCAGTAGAAGGAGAAAAATAATAAAAATTAGAGCAGAAATAAATGAAATTGAAACCAAAAAAACAGTAGAAAGGATCAATGAAACAAAGAGTTGCTTCTTTGAGAAGATAAACAAAATTGACAGACCCTTAGCCAGACTCACTAAGAAAAAAGAGAAAAGTCTCAAATAAATAAAATTAGAAATGAAAGAGGATAAATTACAATGGATACCACAGAAATACAAAGGATTATAAGAGAATACTATGAAAAACTATATGCTAACAAATTGGACAATCTAGAAGAAGTGGATAAATTCTTAGACTCATACAACCTCCCAAAACTGAACCAAAAAGAAACAGAGAGTCTGAATAGACCAATCACAAGTAAAGAGATTGAAACATAATCAAAAACCTCCCAAAAAATAAAAGTCCAGAGGCCAGCCCCATGGCTCAGCAGTTAGGTGCTCGCGCTCTGCTACTGGCGGCCCGGGTTAGGATCCGGGCGCACACCGACACACCGCTTGTCCAGCCATGCTAAGGTGGTGTCCCACATACAGCAACTAGAAGGATGTGCAACTATGACATACAACTATCTACTGGGGCTTTGGGGAGAAAAAGGGAAATAAAGGAGGATTGGTAATAGATGTTAGCTCAAGGCCAGTCTTCCTCAGCAAAAAGAGGAGGATTGGCATGGATGTTAGCTCAGGGCTAATCTTCCTCACAAAATAAATAAATAAATAAATAAATAAAAGTCCAGGACCAGATGGCTTCTCTGGAGAATTTTACCAAACATTCAAAGAAGATTTAATACCTATCCTTTCAAACTATTCCAAACAACAGAGGAAGATGGAACACTTCCTAACACATTCTATGAGGCCAACATCACCCTGATACCAAAGCCAGACAAGGACGATACAAAGAAGAAAAACTACAGGCCAATATGCTGATGAACATAGATCCAAAAATCCTCAACAAAATATTGGCAAACCAAATACAGCAATATGTTAAAAAGATCATACAGCATGACCAAGTGGGATTTATACCAGGGATGTAGGGATGGTTCAACATCCGCAAATCAATCAATGTGATACACCACATTAACAAAACAAGGAATAAAAACCACATGATCATCTCAGTAGATGCAGAGAAGGCATTTGACGAGATCCAACGTTCATTTATGATAAAAACTCTCAACAAAATGGGTATAAAAGGAAAGTATTTCAACGTAATAAGGGCCATATATGACAAACCCACAGCCAACATCATACTCAACGGGGAAAGTCTGAAAGCCATTCCTCTGAGAACAAGAACAAGAGAAGGGTGCCTGCTCTCACCACTCTTATTCAACATAGTACTGGAGGTTTTGGCCAGAGCAACTAGGCAAGAAAAAGGAATAAAAGGAATCCAAATAGGCAATGAAGAAGTGAAACTCTCACTATTTGCAGATGACATGATTTTATATATAGAAAATCCTAAAGAATCCATTGGAAAACTATTAGAAATAATCAACAACTACAGCAAAGTTGCAGGGTACAAAATCAACTTACGAAAATCAGTTGCATGTCTGTACGCTAATAACGAACTAACAGAAAGAGAACTCAAAAAGATAATTCCATTTACAATCACAACAAAAAGAATAAAATATCTAGGAATAAATCTTACCAAGGAGGTGAAAGACCTATACAAAGAAAACTATAAGACATTATTGAAAGAAATCGATGATGACATAAAGAAATGGAAAGATATCCCATGCACATGGATTGGAAGAGTAAACATAGTTAAAATGTCTATATTACTTAAAGCAATCTACAGATTCAATGCAATCCCAATCAGAATCCCAATGACATTCTTCATGGAAATAGAACAGAGAATACTAAAATTCATATGGGGTAACAAAAGACCCGAATAGCTAAAGCAATCCTGAGAAAAAAGAACAAAGCTGGAGGCATCCCAATCCCTGACTTCAAAACATACTACAAAGCAACAGTAATCAAAACAGCATGGTACTGGTACAAAAACAAACACACAGATCAACGGAACAGAATTGAAAGTCCAGAAGTAAAACCACACATCTACGGACAGCTAATCTTTGACAGAGGAGCTAAGAACATGCAATGGAGAAAGGAAAGTCTCTTCAATAAATGGTGTTGGGAAAACTGGACAGCCACATGCAAAAGAATGAAAGTAGACCATCTGCTTTCGCCATTCACAAAAATTAACTCAAAATGGATCAAAGACCTGAAGGTGACACCTGAAACTATAAAACTCCTAGAAGAAAATATAGGCAATACACTATTTCACATTGGTCATAAAGGAATCTTTTCGGATACCATGTCTACTCGGACAAGGGAAACTAAAGAAAAAATAAACAAGTGAGACTTCATCAGATTAAAGAGCTTCTACAAGGCAAGTGAAACCAGGATCAAAATGAATAGACAAAATGAATAGACACATCTATTTGATGTGCAAATAGAAAATATTTGCACATCATATATCCGACAAGGGATTAATCTCCATAATATGTACAGAACTCATACGTCTGAACAACAAAAAAACAAACAACCTGATCAAAAAATGGGCAGAGGAAATGAACAGACAGTTCTCCAAAGAAGATATACAGGATGGCCAATAGGCACATGAAAAGTTGTTCAACATCACTAATCATCAGGGAAATACAAATCAAAACTATACTAAGATATCACGTTACACCCATTAGAATGGCTATAATCACCAAGACAAAAAACAGCAAATTTTGGAGAGGTTGTGGAGAAACAGGAACCCTCATTCACTGCTGGTGGGAATGCAAACCGGTGCAACCTCTATGGAAAACAGTACGGAGATTCCTCAAAAAATTAAAAATAGAAATACCCTATGACCCAGCTATCCCACTACTGGGAATCTATCCAACGAACCTGAAATCAACAATTCAAAGAGGCTTATGCACCCCTATGTTCATTGCAGCATTATTCACCATAGCCAAGAAGTGGAAGCAACCCAAATGTCCCTTGACTGATGATTGGATAAAGAAGATGTGGTGTATATATACAATGGAATACTACTCAGCCATTAAAAAAGACAAAATCGTCCCGTTTGCAGCAACATGGATGGACATGGAGGATATTATGTTAAGTGAAATAAGCCAGAGAGAGAAAGACAAACACCACATGATTTCACTCATATGTGGAATATAAACCAACAGACGGACAGAGAGAACTGTATGGTGGTTACCAGGGGCAAGGGGGGTGAGGGGTGGGCACAAGGGGTGAAGGGAGGCATTTATATGGTGACTGACAAACAATAAAATTTCACAATGTTATAAACTAACACATCAATAAAAAATAAATAAAGACCTAAAACACACTTTTGATGGGGAAGAGCCTTGATACACATATAATAAGAGAAATTATCTCAAGAAATAAGACAGTAAAGCCAAAACAGTTCAAGGATGGATAATAAATCAAACCACACACATTTCCTGAGTTTCCACTCCATCCCGGCTCTGGGATTAGGGTTGAGGGCTTCAGTGTGAGGTGGCGTTTGTGCCTTGAAGAATGAATAAATAGCTAGTCCATTTGCAGGCTGATGGTATAATGATTCTAATGTGGTATTTTGTCTCCATAGGGCCAAGTACTTTTTAATAATTGGGACTCAATTTTTTCTGGCCACGGAGGTCAGTTCAATACACATGTTCCAATATACTCCTTTGATGGCCGAGACGTAATGACAGATCCTTCTTGGTGAGTAGGGGTGGAAGCCCTCCAAGCATATGGTATGATAGACAGTTTTAGGAGACATTCTAACAATGGATTGCCTTTATCAGCTGCCCCTCCAGGATGCTGCCAGCATAAAGCCTCAATGAGGCAGCCGAGGGCCATGGAGAGAGCCCTGGCCTCAGAGCCAGGAGACCTGAGTCCAGTACCTTAATCTGGGACCTTGGGCAAGGCACTTCCACTCTCTGAGCCTCAGCTGCCTCACCTGTCAAATGGGCAAGATAATCATATCTATACCATAGGATTGTTGTGAGTGTAAAATGATAAGCGGGAAAAGATCTAGCATGCAGTGGGCACTTAAGAAGTGTTGTGAGTGTAAAATGATAAGTGGGAGAACATTAGCATGCAGTAGGCACTTAATAAGTGATAAATAATGCTATTCTTGGTGATCCTTTATCCCTATGCTGTGAGCTGCACTCTAATTCTTTGAAAACTACGTATGCTCCTGAGAATAGCACAACTCAGCAAACCTTTCCTCAGTGTCTACTCTGTGCCAGACCTGGAGGGCACAGGAAAAAACCTACATGGCCCCTACCCTTTCAAGGCGTACAGTCTACGGAGGAGGACAGACACAGACTAGCTACAATTCTAGACAGGGTATTGTAAAATGGAGAAACAGATAAGATGATAGGAGCACAGAGGAAATATTCATCCTCACTTGGGGGTGAGAATCAAGAAGGCTTTCTGTAAGAGGAGGCATTCAGTGGACCTTGAAGGATGAGAAGGAATCACTGGGCTGAAAATGAGAGAGAGGCCACTCCAGATGGAGGGACCTCATGAACAAAGGTTCAGATTCATGAAAGGAGGGAGTATGATTTGATAACAAGTACAAGTTGGATATGGTTGGAATATAGTGCGTTCAGCTAGGTGGAAAGAGCTGTCAGGATGGAGAGGTGGCGTGGGGTCAGGCCATGGAGGGTTCAGGAGTTTGACTTGATTCGCTAGACTTATGCCAGTTTGGTCACTGAGATATGCCACAAAGAAGCGTCATTTCAAAAAGTAACATGACAAAATTCCTTTTTAGGCCCCAGAAGGTCGTTTGGCACGGCTCCAGCACCCATGGAGTGCGTCTTGTGGATAAGTACTGTGAAGCGTGGCGAACCGCGGACATGGCAGTCACGGGGCTGGCCTCCCCACTGAGCACGGGGAAGATTCTGGACCAGAAAGCATATAGCTGTGCTAATAGGCTAATTGTTCTGTGTATTGAAAACAGTTTCATGACAGACGCTAGGAAGTAGTGACCTTCTGATGATTCTGAAAGAGTTTTCCAATTTTTCTGATGTGAAGAGTTGACACTGAAATCTAAAATGTTTAAATGTTGTAAATATTAGTTTTTTATTACACATTCGTCACAACAGCAACCAAAGAAAACATACCTCAATACACTCAAAACTGAAGGCATAAAGGACTCAGATCAAAGATAAAATCTGATCCATATATTGGTGCTAGATTCTGCAGGAAACCCCGGCAGTGTGAACACATCCAAGCATGGGTAAGAGCGATTTGGAAAGAAAGGCCTTGGCGTTCCGCCCACTGCATCCTTCAGAAAGTAATTTCCTCCTTTTAACCAGTTGAGTGTAAGATGTCCTTCATGTTTTCATGCAAAGTCTCAGTTTAGAAATGTTACCCTTTTCTAAGTTATGTGCAGACCGACTGCTTTATTCTTTAATATACATCCATCATTTGCAACTGCCGTTCATACAGAGAAACAAAACTGCTCAAATGATCCTATTTGTATTTTCTGATATTACCATACTTTGATTTTTTTCCTAAAATATTATTGCCATCATGCTTTAGGAGTTTTATATTTTTATACAATCATATTTAGTACGGCATCTGTTTATATAACTTTGACTTGCTGGAAAAGTTTAAACTCCAAATTATCTGAAACTAGAAAAGAAATAGCACATAATTACCACCTTTCCCTTGGCGGCCCTTCCAGCCAACCCCCACCCCGGATTTTACGACTTCCATTTGGCAACTCTTGAATTATCGCTGCGATTAAACGAGCAGGTTCATGAGGATGAATTTTCTAAGACACATATATCTTCAGGCTGTATACTTTGATTCTTTTTCCATGTAAGTGAACATAAAAACATCTTTTCCAGGCACTTTCTTCTGTTTGACTTTTTTCCCCTAGTTCCTTTATTCTCCACTGCTGATGTGGAAGTGGCCCTGGGGCAGGTTTGCTGACCCTGTCACTGCTACTTGTGTAGCCCTCAGGAGAAGATCAGAGAACAGGAAGATTTTCCCATCATGCTCGTCTGCTCCTGCCTGTGGTCCCCCACTTGGTGGGGGCAGCATGGGGTGGGCAGAAGAACCCAGTGTGGGAGACAGGATGAACTCTGTCTCAATGCATGACTTTGGACAAGTCTGCCTTTTTCTCTCGAGGAGGTTGGGATAAAATAAGCATAATATCAGCTCCCAGTTACTAAACATCAGACTTTTTGTAAATCCTATTTACCTTTCCTCATACCCTGCAAGGTAGGTATTTTTATCTCCACTTTACAAATGAAAAAAAAAAAGTTGAGGCTCAAGGAGTCACTTGTTCCAGGTCACACAGCTGGGGAGAGGTGGGGCTGGTTTCAGACTCAGGGTCAGTGTCGCTCCAGTGCCCAGGATCTTTTCAAGGAACCACTGCACAGGGCTGCCTATCTGCTCCCTCCCAGCTCCGAGTCTTGACTCTCTGGCTCTTGGCTTGACCCTGCAGGAGAAACAGAATCACCAGGCAAGGGGCATGCCGGGATATTTCCTCCCATTCAGCTGGCCTGGCCCAGAAACACGGCAAAGTGAATCCACCCTAATAATCCCCGAGTTAGGAAGGAAATTGAGGACAAAAAAAAAGCAGACAGCCCGAACCTCCACTTAGGGGCTACCTCAATGGAACAGCGGTGAGAATCTTTCTAATGAGTCATGGAATGAAGACAGTGATAGGTTGGAACACCCCAGAGGTGGAGTGTTGAGAACCAGCCCACCCCCCTAGTGACTGGGGGGAGGGGTACCTGGCCTGGACAGGAACTGAGGAAAGGGAGCAGAAGGCTCCTGAGGTCATGAAGTGAAGAGGCCATCTGTTTTAGTCAGAGCCCACCTTGGCCCTGGGTCACAGAAGGGGCAGGGTGGGATGGGGGTTCAGGGAGAGCCAAAAGGAGGAGAGACTCCTTCGCTAAACCCAAGAAGGAGGGTTGAGGCTCATGCCCTGGCTTCTCGGTCCTCATTGTGTACTGGAGGAGGCCATAACCAGCCGGCCCTCCCAGAAGAGGCCCTGAATCAACCCCAGCCCCATTCAGACTCTGAGAATGACGGTCAAAATCTTGGGCCTGGCATTCAAGACCCTTCACTGAACATCAGTTTTCCTGTCACTTGCCAAAAGTCACCAGCCTGGTGTCCTCATGGTTGCTTAAGCGAGCCACATAGGCCCCTCTGCCAGGCTGTTGTTCACGCCCTGCCCCATCTCGAGAAAGCCTTAACCACTCTAGGTCTAGCCTGGTCCTCTTGCCGATAGCCAATGCAGACGCTGCTTCATCTGTGACATCCTCCATTCCCCTGAACCTGCCTACCTTTTGTCATGATTCCTCCTCTAAACACCTGGTGTGTTTAACACTTGGATCTTGTCACACAGTTGGAACACAATGGCTGAGAAGTCTCCAAGCCTTCACTCTACTCCTATGTCTGGAAGTCCTGAATGTACCTTAAGGCTGAGAAGCAGACTAATGCTCTCAGGGAGTGTTAATAAGAGAGGGAAGATATTCTACAAGTAGTTAATCTTTACAGTGTTAGAGGTCTTTGGATACTTGCTCTGAGTCCATATTAAAGACCCTCAAGGTCTGAAGCCTGTAGCAGCCAAGGTCCCCTGTCCAGAAGCAGAACCAGAAGGACAGAAGTGGCTGTCCCGTATCAACCCATATTAAGTGGCCAAGCCCCGTGAGGAAGCAGACTTTGAAAGGCACAAAGGAGCAAAGGGATTGAGAAGGTATGGGAAGTGGGGGAGACAGAGCATGAAGGAGAAGGTCCAGGGGAATGCTTTCTGCCAACCTGGACGTGGCCAGATGCTGATGCCTGAAGAAGAACTGAGAAAACAAGGAGAATGGATCACAAGAGCCACCCTCAGATTCCCTGCCCACTCTGGACTTTATATGGCTTGTACTGTGTTGCTTGGACCTGGAGGCGGTACAAGTAGGAGACAGCATGGAATTCAGGGAACTGTCAGCAATCCAGTACAGTTAAATATTAGTCAATAAAGGAAACACAAGTCAAATTCATAAGCTGAAAAAAAAAGGAATGTATTGTCTCATGAAACCAGGAAGGACAGGGAATGCAAGAGGCTCAAGCAACATAGTCACTTAGTTTGTTTCTTTCTCTCTCTCTCTCCTTCTGTGTGTGTGTGTGTTTTGTGAGTGTCTGTCTGTCTTGCTTCTGCTTTTCTCTGTATACGACTTCCTTCCCTCCAATGGAGGAGTTGTTTGCAGACAGCTCCAGGCTTATATTATTCCACCACCCCAGAGAGTGCCCACAGAGGAAAGGGAAGACTTTCTCTCCCCTCTGGGATTATATTAATTCCTGGAAAGGACTCTGATTGGTCCCACTTGTGTTGTGTGCCCATGACTGTGATTGGCAGCCCCACCCAAGATGAGTTGTACAGAAGGAACAATGCCTTCACCCAAAATGCTAGGTTTGCAATGACCAGAAAATGGGGGCTCAGGAGGTTCAGAACACCAAAAAAAAAAAAAGAATCCACCACACACAGCAGCAGGGAAGGCTGAGTGTGGAGGATGTGGTGGTGCATGACAGACAGAAGTGAGATCACACCAACCTTGAATTCTAGGATAAGGCATTTGGACTTTATCCTGCAACTGGTGGGGCACCTTGGGAAGATTTTAAAAGATGAGAGAGGGGATCAGCTCTGTGTTTGAGAAAGACCAAGCAGGTCTTTTGTTTATTCATTCGTCCATTCAGAAACATTTCTTGAATAATGCCTTTGTACCCAGGACCATGTTTGGATTTGGAGATACAGAGATAAATGATGCTCCCACTTTTCGAATCCACCAAGCCCATTCTAATGCCATGGACCATTTCAAATCTCTTATATATCTCCTCCTCCCCCAACTCCTCGGAGACCTTACCAGTTGAGGCAAGTATATGTGTATAATCCCTGCCTACTTAGCTGCTGAAGTACCTGTCTGGTTATTCCTTGAGCTCCTGGTTCACCAAGACACCACTGAGACTCCTCAAAGCTCTTTGATCAGCACTGGCTGATCTCCCCGTTTGCCTTCCACCTTGAACTCCAACTTACAGGGCAGTCGAGTGTAGACAGGTCTTTGTCTGGGTTTGAATTTTGGCTCTACCACCTACTAGCCGTGTAATCATAGGCAAGTTACTGAAAGTCTCCAAGTTACCAAAAATTACCCCCTGCATTGAACTCTTCCCTGCAGCTCAGTTTCTCTGCCTGTAAAATAGATAGTAATGGAAACTACTCTCCACTGAGTCGATTGTTTCAAAGTACTGGGAATGGGGTTCTGACCCTGAGTAAGCATCCAGTAAGTGCTCACTATCCTTGGCCTGCCCAGATGTCTCTTGGGAGGAGCTGAGTGTCCTTCCTCTAGCCTTGCTGGATGGTGTCTTCCAATCTTCTTTGTTTCTCTGCCTGTCTCTAAGCCAGGGCTCTGGCTCAATCTATACACACTGGTGCAGCTATACCTGTTGTTGGTAAATATCCACTGTCCCAAGCCCCTGGGTACCCTGGCTGCCCTGCCCCTCTGCTCATCCTCCCCATAATCCAACAACTAAAATGTGAGCATCTGGCCCAGTAGGGGCTCCAGGATTCAACTCTGGCAGTGGGGCTGGATTCTTTCTGATTGACAGGAGCACATGCCACAATAACTGTGACATAGTCTGATTATCCCCCTGCCTAAGCCTGCCCAGAGTTCCAAACAGGATCCAAAGTGCCCTGTTATCTGATATGTTCATAGAGGAGATTGCCAGTCCTACCTCTCCTTCCAGACCTGTTCTTTTTCCTCTGGTCCTTCTCTCAGTGAATGGCACCACCAGCCAGCCAGTAGCCTAGGAGTCATTTATTTATTCATTCATTCAACAAATATTGACTGAGTGCTTCTTTAGTAATAGTAACAACAATAACAACAATAATAAAAAAAAACATAAGTGATAGGAAGTTCAGCAAAGTCTGGATATTTCCATGATGGCTACTTCTATTCTTCTAAATGTCAAGATACTTTGAAACTATCTTGAGGCACTCTTGCTTTGCTGCACGTGCTGTTCCTTTGAGACAAAGTGGTGCTGGCTCCTCTCTTACCTTCTGTAGAACTGCTGCTCACAGCTCCATGCTGATCCCCTGGCCTCCAGCTTCTCTCCAGTTCATTATCCGCACCAGGAGAGAGAACTTTCTAGAAAGCCTGCCACACTCTGTCAGTGTTTTGATTTGGGTTTTCCTTAGATGAGGAGACATTTGCAAGTAGTTTATGTGGGAGGTGATCCCAGGACAAATCAACAGGGGAGTGGGGAAGTGAGACAGAGGAGGGAAGGCAGGCTTTAAAGGGGGCATCTGGTCACCACTGTTGTGGGTGACCAGATGATACTCTCCTCTTAGGGATTCTGGGAGCCAGTGTGGAGCAAGCACCTCAGAGTTTCCCATCTAAGGGACAAGGGAGCTGTGGTATTTATATACCAGCTCCCATCGGTCACTGAAAGGTGGGAGTGCATTAAATTCCAGCACTTCTGATGTGCCAGGCCCAGGCAGAATGGGCTCAGGCCGCCGGAAAAAGCTGTCAGGCAAAGAGATGCAGACGCTGGTAATGGGAAGTGGAAGGTCTAGGGGCCGGCACCGCAGAACCTGCTGTATCAGGCTCAGTCTAATGGGAAGCACGCAGGCGTTACTTCAAGATAACAATCTGAGCTTACAATCACTTCCCAAATCTTATTGAAATGATAAAAACAATAAAAATGAGAGAAAAACAAAGAAAACCCTGAAACACCACTATGGAAAAAGAAGAACAACAACTGGGCAGAAACCTCGAGAACTTTCTGGAAGATACGAACCTGATATGACTGGATATCTGACAACCACAGCAAAGGCAGGGCCTGCCTGTGAATCTGTCCT